ACGAACATATTGATGAAAGGAGTTGTATTGAGTAGAATTTTCGAGACAGCTTCTCGAGGCAAGAGATGCTTAATGATACCTATTAATATTGCCGTGCGATCTTGTGTTTTTGCAAGGTGAACTGTTTCCCGTTTGATGTTTTAAAGAATGTTATTTATGTGCAAGTCAAGTTAGGTAGATTTCTATACCTACTCATCTGTCACATCGAGAAATAAAATACTACAGTCTTTTTAGGCTGGTTATGCCTTATAAATAATTCATAAGTTTTAACAATAAAAATAATTTAAATTGATCTTATCTGTGTTTTGGTTCCCTAGTGCTCTCGCCCGCTTCTGTCCTAAGTCCCAAGGCCATGTGATTGTGTGGCCTGAAAACTTGGCATTGTCACTTAATTTGCGGTCGAAGATCGGCAGCAAAATTATGATTTTGGAAGAACTTGAAGTTAATAAAATGGAATTAACTGAACTTTGTTTTGTTGGCTTTCCCGGTCTTTAAATGTCCATTCATTTCATCTAAACACCGAGCGGAAAAACTTCGTGCGTGTCTTGACTCGGCAAGGCGGGAAAGTCGAAGTAGAACGCGCTTCGAACGCAGGAATGGATCAACCAATCAGAGCATTTTTCCCCTCTGCTCAGTCCGTCAACTTTCTTTCATTGAGTGCGTTCTAGAGTGTTGCGTATAGAAGAAATGCATATCTTGAGAAAATAGCGGCATTGTTGCAAATATTTATTCCAAAATCATATGCCTATTCCTGATTTTGGTATTTTTGTAGGTGCAAGCAATGGTTCTTCTCATGGTTTTTTAGGCGATTTGTCAACGAATTTTGTGGACACGAATTGTTATAAAGGCTTCAAAACGTTAGACAGTAAACGATAAAATGTTTTCTCTAAGCACGCAACGGCCCACGCTATCTGTCTCCACTGAAATAAATCCCCTGGTTTTTTTAGTGACTTAAGTACGGATTCATTTAAGAAAAAACTCAGAAGTACTTACGAAGTGCTTGACGGTTCAAGAATTGTATTCTTCTTTAAGCCTGGTTTCCATATAGCCGTAAGGCTGCCTGCGACTGCCTGCGACTGCTTTCTGCCATCTTCCATCTTCCACCCTTACAGCAGCGCCGGCAAATGGAAACGTTCTGTTTTCAATTGCCTGAGGTATCGGTAACTATGCCGGTAACTAGGTAAAATTTGAGCGGGAAAAACTGGCGGGCAAAATTCAACAACAAAGCCCTGTTTCAATTGGTTCTTGCACATCACATGATCCGTTTGAACAAAAGAATGCCGCAGACAGCCGCAGGCAAGGCGTTTCCATTTGTAATTTGTCTGCCGGCGGTACCGGGAGGCTGCCGTAAGAGCCGGGAAAAGTTGAACTCGTTCAACTTTCTCCCGGCTCTCCCGGCAGTCTTACGGCACTTCAAACAGCTGCCTGCGGTACCGTTAGAAAGCGTTTCCATAAAGAATTGTCTGCCGGCGATACCGTAGGGATGGAAGATGGAAGATGGCAGAAAGCAGTCGCAGGCAGGCGCAGGCAGCCTTACGGCTATATGGAAACCAGGCTTTACTGTAAAATGTAGAGCGTCTTTGTTGAGTGAAAGGTTCAAGGTTTCCCAACTTTGCATGTCAATATATTTAAATATTTTTGCAAAGTTTCATTAAAAAAAGTTGGAGAATGTACCACTTTACAAAATATAAGCTCAATAATGACCCTGATCGTTGTATTCCAATAAGATAATGAGAACTCAAAAAATGTAGCTTGTTATATCTCCCTTGGTTTTTTCAGTTGAAGGTTTGATTCAAACTTTTGCAGGTCATGCAGAGGTTTCAAATTTTACTTTACAAATTTTTAAACAAGCAATTTTTGAAATAACAAGTAAAATATGCACAATTTTTCAAGGTTTATTATCAACGACCTGTAAAAAGATTTCAAAATGACCTGTTTTTCAATAAAATGACATGATGCCGCTTTCTTGGAGTACAACCAACCATAACCAACGTAAGCAGATTCAATCAGGGCAATAATGGGCTAAACGTTTCATCGCTTATCTCTGGTTAACGACCGAATTTCAAAAATGGGGACGGCAAAGTTTTAGATATACTCCTTTGCTATGCATAATTGTATGAAGCACTTCAATAATGACAATTTTCGCGTTCAGCGTTAACTTTTTGTGGCGCCGGTTTTTCCCCACAGCTTTGGATAGGAGGTGCGAGCGTTACTGTTGCGGCTGATTCGATGCTATTTTCTCTCCAGATTTCTATTGTCTTTGACGCTATACCATTGGCTGGTTCAAATTGTAAACAAACAGTCTGATTGGCTCAAAACATTTTTCATCTTTGTTGGCCCCCAGCCCTCCCCCCGTTTCCGACGGGCCAGAGCCTAAAATAAGAAATTTTTACAGATCCACATTTTTTAAAGAAATTCGGCGTAGCACTTTGCTGGGATTGGCCCAATCGGCGTGGCAAATAAAGAAACTGCCACCATTGTGCAAATTGCATGTCATAATTGGGTAAAATCCTAAATGAATGAAATACAAGCAACAAAAGCTGATTTTTGACAATATATGGACTTGGTCATTAAGAAATTTAGCAACGTAAAAGGATATCTTGTCAGCAAAAAATTATCGAAAATAAATCCTTTCCCTTATACATGGTTTTTGCAGATCTCCGTCAAAATTATTGGTTCTTTCCTCTCTCCTTCGAAAACCCCCTGAAATCAATCTTGCTTCCCATACTTCAGTGCTTTTGGTTTTTTTAGAGCCATATCTTAGCAGCTGTTCATGGAACTCGAAATTTACGAGATCAAGCATATTTATTGCAATATTCATATATTTGTTCAGTGTAACTGGAGCTATGCTGCTTTCCCCGCCTGTTTCTATCTTGTTGTAGGCTGGTATCAGCCTCTCTACGTCGGCAGAATAAGGGTTTGCTGCAAGAATTCGAGCCATTTTCTCGCCTGGAGCAAGTCCAAACTTCAATGCATGATGGAATGAAATCTTGATAAATTTTTATCTGGGACAAAAGCTGGATAAAGTTTTCTGAAGTCTCTTCTTGCTTATGAAAAGCTTTTAATTGCATTCAACCCAACAAATTCTTTGTCGTCAAATCTTTACTTCAAAAACGTTACGGATGGAAACACCCCTTTCAGAAAATGTTGCTTTTTTCTGTCCTCATTCATAAACATAACGACTCAGAGATGATTTCAATTACAAAGCCGCGTTAGATAAGATACAAATTTATCTTTGATCAAACCAGATGAAACACCATGAAAACGAACAAAAACAGGTTTCCAGGCAAGAAGAACCGCTACTTATGGGTTCATCAGCGTAAACCTTCAAAACGTTTTTGAACTTATTTTTGCAAAAAAGTTGGGAGGGCTATAGTCCCTGTTATGTAACATTCCCTGTTATTGTATACTGACTTTGCCCGTTTTACTTCAAAACAGCACAACAATCTCACAAAGTACAATTGATTTTCCTCCGCATGTACTGAAGTTCGGGTTCTGAAGTTTCTTTATTCTTATTTATTGTCCAATTATCATTTTCTTATGAGTACAATACATCAACTGTCCACATCAACACTATTTTGCCAGCTCCCGACCTGCTTTGGAAAAGAAACAAATAAAAAAATTATAGGGTGGGATTTAGGCATTCACTTTGCATTGAAAAAATTACCTAATCCTATCTTGGGCTTTTCGATTGGCATTTTATGCTGCACATTTAAGAAAATGCACTATTTACAAATCCACACTTTCTACAGTTACAGTTCGCCATCAATTGCAGCATTCGAAATTTCACATTTCCCCAGAATGCAAAAACTGCTGCAGTTTGCCCTTTAGACAAAGATGAGCCCGCTCGTACTGTGGAGATAAATTATCGTCCAGTCAGTATACTCAACACTTTTTCCAAAATCTTTGAGAAAATTCTAAAGGAACAGCTCATTCCCTTTCTTGATAAGACTCTTTCAATTTTCATTGCAGCGTATAGAACAGCTTACAGTGCACAAAATGTTTTGACTAAACTTGTAGAAGAGTGGAAATCTAAGCTTGACAATAATTTTATTGTAGGGTCCGTTTTGATGGACCTGTCAAAAGCTTTTGATTGCATCCCGTATGATTCGATTATGGCTAAACTTCATGCATATGGTTTTGAAGAAAATGCCCTGGTTCTTGTCTATTCCTATATTAAAAAACGGAAGCAAAAGGCCCGAATAAATAACGTCTACAGTTCCTTTCAAGAAATTGTATCAGGAGTACCACTGGGATCCGTTTTAGGTCCTATTCTTTTCAATTTCTACATAAACGACATTTTCTCTATTATAAAGCAAGCAACCATGTATAATTATGCTGATGACAACACGCTTGCTTTCTTTTCCAAATCCTTGCCAGATCTTGTCAGGGTCTTGGAAAATGAAGCCGACAGCGCTTTGTCATGGCTCGAACAAAATGAAATGATTGCAAACCAGAACAAATTCCATGCACTTTTTGTTGAGAAGGACCAGACAAAAACTTCCGGCATAAATCTTAATTTTCAAGGACATTCCATCAAATCTGAAGAGACTGTTAAAGGCAATCTGTCCCGACGTTGATTGGTTATAAGAACAAATGGATTTTTATTGCTTCCAGTCCCCCTTTAATTTATCGCATTGTAAAAAATATGGCGGAGCGCTGGAATCGTGTTTAGGCTATTGTTCCAGCTATTGTTCTGGTTAACCAATCCACAACGAGACAGATTGCCTTTAAACTCCTAGGTGTAACACTAAACTACAAATTGAACTTTGACCCACATATATTTAACCTTTGTATAGTCATCATATTTGTATGTAAGTTGCTTCAAATATTTAGCTTATGTATGTACGTATTTATTTCCTTAGTTATTTCCTCTTTATTTGTTATACAGTAGATTCGATTTAGATTAGTTGTATGTGTATATATCCATATTAATAAATGTATAGATAGAAGCAATATCGAATTAAAATAAGGTTAGAAACAAACAAACATTGATAAATGTCAAAATTTCTAGGACGGCCATCATGACGTTGCGGAGGCGCTTGGACTTTGCCTTGTCAGCGGTTGATTCTGGACGAAGACCATCATGGCGTCCCCACTTAGGATCCTCGTGGGCTGCAAGAGAGTAATTGACTATGCTGTGAAGGTAGATATAGCTCGACGATAAAACTTTGCGTTGAAATTTAAAAATTAGCAAATGTTTCTCCAATCATAGGGTGACGTCAGACCATTTTGCCTTTTTTCTCGTGACTTGGAAAACGGCCTAGGCAATTTCTAATTGACACCTCATCGTTTGAATCACACAAACAGAAACAATAAGAATTTTCAAAAATAAGGAATGAGCGTATTTGACCGTAGCTAAATATATTATCGAAATTGATAAGAACGGAAAAACGCCTAACGGACTGTATAGAAAATCCTCACCGAAGTCTTCACATTTGCCGAAACCTGCATTATATAAGTTAATAACCATACCTTTCAGTTTATTGGTTCAATTCTTAGTCGAAGAGTATCTTTAGCAAATTCGTGTTCATTCATATAAAGTCAATGCATTCTAATTGCACTTCAAAATTTTCCTATATGTTTTCACTTTGGAAGGCTTGTTTTCTCATTCTCCTTATTTTTGTGCTGATTGTGCCCCACTAATAATATATTTGCAGAAAAAAGTATTCTGAGTTATTTTAGATCAGTGGCGGCTCGTGCTATGGGCATCTGGGGCAATGCCCCTCCAAAACGTTTAAAAGCAAATCTTAGAAATTTTTATTGACTTTCAATCCTGGCTTGCCTTGTTTTATTATTTAAGTACGAATATCTCTTCTATAAACAGCCTCTTGCCATCGCTTTTTGTCCTTAGCCTCTCTTCTGAGTTGCTAGACTAGAGCCTTGAGCAATGATGCCATTTTATGGGCAAATTTTTTTGCCCCTATCTGATATGTGTACAAGTGACCTCTGATTGGCTAATTTTTGGGGCTAGAATTATTTTGCTCTCCCACTTTGAGCAACAACCACAACTCGCCCCTTTTATTGATTATGACTTGAAGAAAAACTTAGGGTGAAATGTTCAGGTCCTGACAGGCCAGACCTTCCGTTATTCAACACCAAGACACCAGTAACCAGTCATCGCTTTACAACAACATGGTAGGCCTACACAAAGTACAGTTGGCTGACGGGATGTAGCGAATCAGGGAAAGTGTACTGACAACTGTTGATTTTTTGGTGGGGCACTATGTGAAAATTTTGGATACACACAAGGGTGAATGACTGGATACATTTATCTGAAAAAGTTAAATACCAACTTTCATGATACTCTGTTTGCACTACCATAAAAGCATCGGGATTGTCCAACATCAATTAAGAAGAGAAGAGCATACAAAATTTTATCCATGACATTAATAATTTGAGAGAAAGGATAGCTTGTCTTTTTCCAAAGACACATTCAGATGCACAACAGGCCGTGTTATGAGACTTGATGCAGAAAGTTCAAAAATTTTCAGTGATGTTGCATAATTATTGCTAATTGCTGTCAGAGATTTGACTTCATTGATCTTACTGTTTGGTTTGAAAGTGACTCCTTCTCAAAGTATGAGCAATGCTTTCCATCTGTGGTTTTAGAAAATGCAGCTGGGTGGATTTAAAACTGATATCTGAGCCTGTAGTGATATATAACCGACCAGAGCTTTGCAGATGTTTTCCTGTGAAGCACAGAGGTGTTTCGTAATTCTCAAATAAGTCAAGAAATTATTAAATAATACAACGTCCAGGCCTTGCTCTAAGTAAAATGAAGGTGCTCCATAAAAAGAGCCCCTTAGAAACTCTAGGCGCTCTATTTCGCACCTCTAAGTAAATTTCCTTGAGAGCATCCTTCGAGAGCTTTAGAAGATCGAGAGCTTCATATCAAAAGCTTCGGAAGAATGTTAAATATGAAATTCAACGGTGATACCAGAAAGCACCATAATATGAAATAACAAAACATGCAACAAACACTATGTTAATGTAAATATATAAATATAACAGAACAAAGTCGCAAAATTGTTCAGATTTTTCTAGATATGTAAGTTGCCATCATTCGATGAGCTTTTATCAGTGTCAGTATCACTACTGTTATGTTCAGCTTCACATATTGCTTCATCAAAACGCATGGCTTTAAATCGAACATTTAACTTTGTTTCCTTTTTTCATGTTATCCATTCTATAAGAAACGCTAGAACATCTACTACTCGCAAACTCAAATGAAAAGCAATGCGATAATTTGGACGGAAACGTGATCGCTGATTTGCACAGGCGATTTTAAGTTATTAAGAAAAACAGAAAATAATATTTACTTCAATAGAAGATTAACGCTTGCTCAAAAATCAAATAAATCTGCCGGAGAATACGCTTGATGGCCTGTATTCTTGATGGTTATTAGAGGGTTATTAGATTTAAAATGATATCGAAAACCCAACGTTGAATTTGCTGATTTTTTCTCAAGGGGTAATCTTACGCAAATCATAATATTGCGGTCTGTTGGGAAGATTGTTTATGCTTGATCAAGTTGATTCAACAAATTCCAAAAATTTATTTTGCTCCGTGTTAATATTGTTTTTACGTTTTGAGGGGCTCTATAAATCGCTCTCCAAGGCTTCTTTTGGGTGCGCTCTAGGCGCGCGCTCGATCGAGCGCCTTTCCGGGCAAGGCCTGAACGTCAGAGGATAGACTAAGTGCTTTGGTAATGCGGTCAATTGAACAAGACATAAGAATCTTTGTGGACTTTAATTGCAATGTTATTAATCTTTTTTCAAACTATAAACATAGAAGGGCAAAATTATTCTACAAGAGGTAAAAGTGCCTCATATAAAAATCTGTTCTCCATTATTTGTTTATTTCTCAATGCCAACAATTGGTATTGTTGAAGGCCAGTTAAAATTTGTTGTTTCTACTTGGTTTTGTACTTGAATTTTCATTTAAGAAGATTTCCACCACAACCAAAGCTAGAATCTAGTTGGTTCTATATTCAGAACAATTGACTCTAGTTAGCCAGCCACATTCACATTTCATATGTCTTCTCATTTCATATTTGACTTTCTGGGTGACAACACAAATTTATATTCTTGCAATCACTTGACTGAAGAATCAAGAAAAAAATATCTTCAGAATACCTATAACTCAATGAATGATTTTTTGAGAATGTAATGCCTCTAGAATTGTTCAGGTTTTCAAAATAATGAAATTAGAAGGCTCATTTTGTCTTATTATTTATTTTACATTGTCTTATTTTATTATTGTCTTATTATTTATTATAGAAACTCTTATTATTTTACAAATTTTTGAAAAATCAAGGAAAAGAACTTTCAATCTCTGATTGACAACTGTTTCTATTGAAAATTGCTGCTGATTGGTCTTAAGAGGAAACAACCCATAAAAAGACTAATTTCTAGGCTAAAGTTAGACAATGATTTGATCAAAGTTTATCTCATTTATAGATAAAGATTAAAGTAAATTTCAAAAAGGGTTCTGTTTTGTGCAGTCTGAATCCTAATATTTCTTTATCCAGATGTAAAGTTTTGCCAAGTTCATGAGCAAGTTTCACTCAGTAGTTGCTATCTAATGTTTTTTTTCAAATATTTTTTTAAAAATTTGCATAATCTGTGAATTTCAAAATAAGGAAGCCAATTTTTGAATTTTTATCAAAGATGTAGTGTAGTTATATTAAGGAAACTTTGAATGGTTACTTTACTTTCCATTGCATGCTCTGCTGCTCAATCAAGAATTGCTGCTAGTATTTTTGAAAACAAAAATATTTGCATGCGCATTGCTAATATCGCCCTTCTGCCCTCCCAACCTTGAAGGTCACAAGCCGCCACTGTTTTGGATAATAACCTTTTTTATATATATTCTAAACAAGTTGCTTTTAAAAGTAATTCAAAATGCTGGGAACTCCAGCTGCCATTGTTAAAAAGGTACAAATAGCAAATAAGTTTGGTATTGCAAGAATTGTAGATAGTAGCTGAAATAGCTGAAACACCGCAAACTGGGAAGCATAGAACAAATGTACAGAACCAGACTCTTTTTCATTGTCTTGCTTTTCAGCTAAAATTATTGAATCACCAAGTTTTATGAAAATATTTTGGATATATTCTCATTTTTAGATCAGGATCAAACCAGACAAATCTGGAGTTATTACTGATGGAGTGAAGCATAGTATGAATCCCTTTGATGAAATTGCAGTTGAAGAGGTAAATATAGCATTTGAATATTTCAACATAAGGCTGCATAAATTGCCAACTGCAGGGAATTGAAAAGGGAAAATTTAGAGAATCATAAGCATTTATAACCAGAAAGTCAATTACCAGTCCTTTGTCTCAATTTATGCTTTTTATTCAGCCAGTCCTCCTTTCTTTGATATGACCTATCATGTTTGATGAAAGTTCAATGATGTCAAGTATTCAATGTTTTCCGATGGGATAAAGCTTCTTAGCTATCAATTACAATTGCTTACTATATGTATGAGGACTAGATTTCTCACTGACAGGATGAACTTGTCTCAACCATGACACTCTAATCTACTTTAAGAAAGTATGTATGTGTCCTTGTATTTTCCTTATAATGTCACTCTTTCATGAGACAGATGTTTTTGCAAGGTCAGCTGTTAGTCACAAATGGCTTTACAAGAAAGACCACCCACAGTAAATGAAAATGAATGCAATTAATTTTTTAACTTTGATTTTAATCCTTTGCCACAATTTCAGGCCATAAGGCTCAAAGAGAAGAAAATTGCATCAGAAGTTGTTGCCCTGAGTCTTGGACCAGCCAAGAATGAAGTTAGTTAATATTCTAGAAAATATTTACTGAACTTCTGAATTAAATATTTTGAGTATCATCTTTTAAGATGAATTATTTCTGTTGTGATATTTTTTCTGGAAAAGGATGCTAAAGTCAGTTGGTAGTTGTTATTATATGAAGGAAGCTGGTCACCAGATTTGATGTGGATAATAAACTTCGAGTGAAGTCAGGCTGAAGTTTTGCAATTTGGCCCCCATTTATTACAAGGCAATTCAGCCTGAAAAATAGAATAGGGTCTTACATTTTGCTACAAAATTTCAGACAAATAAAATTTTGGCAAAATATTTTTGGACAAAAAAAATTAATGTTTTTACAAAATTCCAGATATTTCTATAAAGAAGTTCAGACAAAAACACAAACACTTTCATTACCTTTTAAATAGCATAGCATATTATACCATATCAAGCCTAAAAAAGTCTACAATCTTCTTGATTTAACTTAAAAAGTCACAATGTTCAAGGGGTCCTCATGAGGATTTTAGGGATCTTTTTGAGGGGTCCTCAAGGGGAGCCCAATGGAGATTTTCCACCATTTCAAAAGCTTTCGCAATGATCCTACATTTCTGTAATGTTCACAATGGCAGATGAAAAGTGAAGGTATCTTGTCCACATTACAACATTGATTCATGGAAATTACAAAGTGAATGAAATAGTGCCAGATAAAGAACATGAACAGAACAAAAACATTATTAGGATGTCTCATGATGCTAAATGAAATTTGTCAGCAAGATGCGATACTGTTTGACTTAGTAGCTAGCTCTTACAACACATTTCCATTATTTGTCGATTTCATCTATTTATCGTCGAACATAATTGAGAATCATGTTGGACTATCAACAAGGCAAAGGTCTATGAATGCTTTGCCCGAGTCTGGGCCCGAATTTAAGTGTAGGAGCCTTTGGAACACTTTGTAAATGGATGTGAATAGTTCCCTGATGTGTTTGTTTTTAAACAGGAAACAATAAGAACTGCTTTGGCCATGGGTGCTGACAGAGGGATCCATGTTGTTGTTGCTGACAAAGATTACCCAGGGTTGCAACCCCTTGCAGTTGCCAAAATGATGGCAAAAGTTGTGGAGCAGGAAAAAGCTGATTTAGTCATTCTCGGAAAACAGGTGGGGCACTATAAAATTCACTTGTAATATCAATTGATACCTAATAGTGATATGGGTTTTCAAAGTCAAATTTAGATTCATGATTTGATAGACCAATGGAGCTTTTTTCACAGTCTGGATAAGCTCTTTTGTTACTGGGTTTTGAATTTAGAGGAAGCTGTTTTGGCATGTTTACAAAAACTTGTTTTGTCATACTTCGAGGAATATTTTTATCTTTGCGAATCTGTGTTGATTACAGTCTGCTGACAAATGAAATTTTTGTATCCTTTCAAGATGTTAATAATTTATTATTCATCTCTCTCTCTGCTGCTCTTTCTGCAGCTCCCTAAGCAGTTTGAGTCTTTTGCAATGTAAATTAGATGTAGCATATTCTCAGGTGTGCTCATTTTGAAATCTCAATCCATTGCAATGTTAACCAATTTTATTGATCTTTCTAACTGAAATCCTACCATTTGCAAAGATATTTGAATTTTGTGACAATTTTTCTCAGGCCATTGATGATGATTCTAACCAGACAGCCCAAATACTAGCTGGTCTTCTTGACTGGTCACAGGTAATAAAAAGGAGCTTGTCCTCTCAGCATTTTATTTTACCTAGATACACTTATTGCTGGCTTTTCTGTGTTGACCTTGTTACTTTTTATGGCTTCAAGCCAAAAATGGCAAAATGGGGAAACCAAATTTCATACATCTTGATCAATGTTTTTAAAGTACCAAACGCTGATGTATGGCTCCTTTTTGTCAAGAAGTTTCTTTATTTTTTTCTTTATAATGTTTCACCAGAAACCAACTTTTTTGCTGACCCATCAGCTCGCTAACACTTGCATCGCTGGCCTAGAAATGTCTTAGGGTTGCCAAAACTCTACTTGCTTAGGAATTACTGTGCTGACGTTGCTCCTGCTTAATTAAGAGGGTCGCTTATTAACAAAATACTAAGCAGTGTATGTCATGACAGTTATTCATTTTTAAAACGTTTATGTTAGCAAGTTCATGTCATTTATACGTATATTTCAAGTGGAAAACTTCATTTCATGAAAGTTTCGTCAATACAAATGTTACTTGAACTTTCCTTCAAATATTAAGTACCTTTTGGCAATGCTGTTATCGCATCTTTTTCTCCTTGTCACAGGCCACATTTGCTTCGAAAATAGAAAAAGACAACGGATATTTACGCGTCACAAGAGAAATCGACGGTGGCCTAGAAACTATTAAAGTTAAACTTCCATGTGTTGTAAGCGCCGATTTGAGGTATGGTTTTTGTGCGTACAACGTTTGAAACATCCATTGAAGAGACCATTTAGCCTTATAGGAAAAGATAATGTGGGCTGTTGTTTTATAGGAAAATAAAAGGTGTCATTTGCTTCTGAACTGCTGTTGCTTAATCTACGACCCAGTTGGTGGTTTTTTATCAAAGTATATAACTTTGAACTTAAAAGTTTATTTAGAATGTTTAACATGTCTCCAAATTCGCTGATTGGTTAGGAATCACTCGATAGTGATTGTCATTATGGCGACTGATAACTTAGGCATGGGTCTTCACGTTTGAAATACTTCGGCAACAGAATTCTTTTTATTCTGAAAATTTGAAATTAGCTTGGAAAGCGTGAACATAGCATACTTAAAGTATTTAATATATTTCATCAAAAAGTTTTAGGTATTCTATCTTTCCGCTTCTCTGTTCTACCTTCCAAAATAACTTTTTTGTCATTTGCCAGTGTTTACATTTGCATCACGATAAATCCATTGCAAACTTATGTTGATTTACATGTTAAAAGATTGCTCCTTTTAATCATGACAATGTTTGTGTTGCATTTTAGGCTAAATGAACCAAGATATGCGACTTTACCTAATATTATGGTGGGTACTTGCGATCCCATTTGTGAGATACTCTTTGTTCCTTTCTTTTTATTTTTTCCTTTTGCTCTTTGTTTTTGTGTCCATGAATTCATAATGGCTTTGAAAAAGCAAACATTTTACGACATACTAAAAGCTTTTTCGTGTGACACTCCTCAGAGCATAAAACGTCAGAATAAGGGTCAGAAATAACACGATGAAAAACATATACCCAGTTGTGGATCGCAATAGGCCAATCAGAAAGACGCAAGCACAAGACCGGTATAGTTGACCAATCAGTGCTGCGGGCCTAGAGAAAAATTACCATTGGAGTCCAAGAGAGAAAACGAACTCCTTCTGTCTACACAATGGCGGCTTTTTTTATTTTATCTTTAGATTTATCTTAATTGAGAAATTTTGGTTTTATTGCTTCTTGCAGCACGGGGTATTATTAAAAATAATTTGAGCACTGAAAGAGTGTGTCTTAGCCTTCGTATAAGCTATATGTACATTGGTGTTGATTATAGATTCTACATATCTACGGTATTAAACATCTTAAGTGAGTCGATATTGCATGTACAGAGACTGTCTAGTAACCGTTAGGCCTAAACCAGGTCGCTGTACAGCAATGGCTAGCCTATTTCATCTCCGCATTCTTTATACAGTTGAAAGCCTGTGTCATCTCATTTTTAGTTTTAATGGTGTTTGGAATCTCATCTCTTTTATCAAATCATTTCACCAACAGAAAGCGAAAAAGAAGAAAATCGACAAGAAGAAACCCGAAGATCTTGATGTCGATATCAAACCTCACTTTGAAACGTTGTCGGTCGAGGATCCTCCTGTGAGGGAGGCTGGAATCAAGGTTGAAGACGTTGAATCCCTGATCGCTGCCCTCAAGAAGCAGGGACTTATAAAAGGATAGTGACAATTGATGATTAGCTACCTATTCAATAACCCCTAGTGTCGAAAATGTTCATTGTCTTTCTTCTAAAAATCGGTGATTTGTATAGTTCATATTGTATGCACTTTGTCTTTATAATATCTCTTCAGTTTGGTGAAACTTTTCAATTTTTTATGCTTCTGATTCATCATCCATCTTTTTATCATGTTTCTATAAAATTTCAGTCACGGGTCTGAATTTCAAAATGAATCTTTTGGTGTGTTCTAAAAAATTGCTTGTATGGTAAAAAAGAAAGTGAGGTCTCTACCCGGAGATACCCCTGCAAAGGTTCTGAACTCTATGTTGGGTTCACTGCTGTTTTTATTATACCACTTGTTAGAGCCATGCAGAAAATCATTTATAATCGGCTGCTAGTAACATGGACTACCGCCTAGAATAACAGATAGATAATTGGTGGGCAGGCTGAAAAGCAAGCTGGGCAGGTGATACTTCAAAATAGCTCGCCCGTTTTAACAGTGGATAAGAAAAACTGAGGCTTAATACTTGATTCTAAATTATCTCTGCCTCCTTACAAGAGGCAATAACCAAACAAAGAAAGTCGATTGGAGTGCTGAAAGTCATGTCCAAATGCAAACCTAGATGAATATTCAATGAATTACATAACGTACAAACTAGGCCTTATTTAAGATGTGGCGATTTCTTTTTACCAATCACCTTAGAAACAGGTGTAGAAATAATCGCAGAGAAATTGCCAAGACAAAAATACGAAGTAGATACTTTATTTTCTTAATAAATACACGGAAATGAAATTCTCATCTGGGCCCCTATTTCACTACTGCTTAAAAAATACAACGTCCTTTGAAATGAGCCAGTGGTGGGCTAAAAGGGCCAGAACCAAGAAATTTAAAATGGCGTAACCCTGACTCTCTGTTGTTCGGGTAAATGATAAAACTAGACCCTCGAAAACAATTGGGGCTAGAGGGGGGTACGAGGAAACTTTCTCTACATCGTTGGCCCCTCTAGTTTAGAATCAGTGACGCGGGCCCTGGGAAGACATTATCAATTTTGTCTGTACACCTTAAATATGAAAGTCAACATTTGAGTTCCAAAGCAAATCACTTACAAAGTCAATCGTCTTAGTCGTTGCTGGTCTTCCTGATTCAAAGAAAATTACTTCATTGTTACCTTGCTTTAAAAACGATCTTGGCACATACAGTGTTCTTTGCGGTCCACGTCGATCATAACGCCCAAGATTACGACCATTTACGAACACTGCACCTCGTTCCCAGCCCTTAAGGAAAAAATTCATCAAATGATACAATTTTTTTACCGTAAGTTAAAAGAAGCTATGTAGACAGATAGATATTAAGAAAAGTTACCTACTACAGGATAGAGGGTTAGACAATTTGCAAGCCTTTCGTTCCACAAGTTTTTGAGATTGTCCAAAAAAGCGGTAATAAAGCAAGTCATACGGACGAATGTATCACCGGCTCTCATTATCAAGTCTTGGGCAATGAGAAAGTTTTTAATCCAGGCTTCAATAGTGACAGATTCCCAAACCCTAAAAAATTGTGTTGCTTGCTAAATGATCTGAGAGTTTTCGTCACATTCAGAGTTCTCGAAGGAGTTACAATTTATATTACAATTTTCACAAACTTTCAAAAAGTTCAAAACAGTTGTTGCTTGCTAAATGATCTGAGAGTTTTCGTCACATTCCGAGTTCTCGAAGGAGTTACAATTTATATTACAATTTTCACAAACTTTCAAAAATTCAAAACAGATACGGGGCTAACAATTGACCTGGTGACCATTGTCACAAGTCTTGCTTCCTGAATTACCACCAATGAAAATCGATATGCAACGGTAACAGTTCTTTTAATAGTACTTTAAACCCTTGACACGGGCCTTGGAGAGAAATATTAGGAGAAATAAAGTGATGGAATTTATCTGCACATGCAACGGAAGTATGATAAATGACGAGACTGGAACGACTTACCTGACCCGCTGTTGCGTTGACCTAATATGGCCTAACGATCTGGTCAATTTAGGCCCTATTTACACGAAACAGTTTTCATTTAATATCGAATGCATTGTTCCAATCCAATATGAATGTCTTCTCGGTCTATACGATGTTGCTTTTCATTTTATATCAGATCGGGGCTTTGTTTACACTACCCTGGGCACCAGAACCTTAAAAATTCAAAGGATAATAGAATTGGAGAAAGGAAATTGTGAAGGGTACTTTCCCGATCTCATTTGCAATTTCCCTTCCCAGTTCTAATTTTCTATGGCTTTCTGAGGCTCTGGTAACCAGAGTATGTTTACACGAGTCGCTATGCTACACCCTTCGGAGATCCGCATTTGTTTAACCGTCTGTGTGCAGCAAGCTCTTATTCAAAGTGAAGTTCAGTTTCAACCATTTGCATGAGCATATAGCAGTTTCAAAGTGTGTGTGCACCAACAAGCATAAGGCGAAAACGTCATGATGCCCAAAGAAGATCTTAATTCTGCCTTAAGATAATACTCTTATGAAAATCCAGATTGTGTGATTACATACTGTGATGACAATTTTTAGTCATTGGACAAGCAAGGTCTGCTAGGAAAAAATTTCCTCCCACACTTTGATCATTACCAGGTTATACTCTGAACTACATTGAACGAAAAGTACTTCAATATGATATGCAATGTATATGATAAGCTCCTTTTCAGTTAATAGCAGAAATTCGTAATCTGGCGAAAAATTTTCTTGGAAAGGAATCTTTTTCGAAATGTTCAGCTAGTTCATTTATAAATTCATGTGTATATTTGATACTTGCAAGGCTCTGTCGTGCAACTAAAAACTGCTTCACAGCTAAAGGTAAAATAAAACAGAACGTTAATCATTTTATGAAACTGAAAATTAAATTATTTAAATAACTGAAACATCACTTACCACTATATGCATAAGACAGTCATGTGGGGATCGCTGCACCCAAAGTGATCCCTTGTAAAGGGCTGGGGTGTTTACCGCTTTTGGAATCTCTTTCTCCCAGAATTTACTGTCTCGAAGACTATGATGACGAGTAAAATTAAAAATAAAATTAGATTGTTATATTAAACAGGCTTTACAAAATTAGCAAAAACAGCTCAAACCGATAGACGATCATGAAAACTACTTATAATACATAACAACGTAATTTTCAACGATACAGCAAAATTTGATAAATGGACAAATAGACAATTGCTTAAATTACGAACTCTTTGTTTTGACACCAGTAAACATGGAATAGGAAGGTACCTTACAAAGACATAAGCTACAATCCTTGCTAAAATTGTTGGAACACTCGCTCAAAACTGAAGCTTCTTTAAAAAAAATCCCCCCTAATCCCCATTTCAATTTTCTTCAATTTGGCTGTTTTGATGCTGAAGACAAAACCATTGTTTACTGAAAGCTGTACAAAGGTATTGAGAAAATAGATCAATATTGTACGGGGGGAGTGGGTCGAAATTTTGGGAGCGGAAATGGTAAGGTAAGGTAGTTTTAGACTTGTTTTGCTTATTTGCATGCCGCAATGGGAAGGCATTCCAACTATTTTTGGCATGGATTGTAGCCTCATCGAGTTGTTTAAATAGCTTGCAATTGGTTTCTGAAATCATCTTCCTCAAATCCTTTCCCAACAGATGTAGATATTATTCGCGAATGATATCCAATTCCAGTAAAATAATTTTTGATTAATTAACTTTAATCGTTTTTTATCATGGATGAATGCTCGAAATTGTAAACACAAGGTAAAAAATACTCACTTCAACATAAGTTCTTTCTTGAATTCAAGTGGATAAATAACCCAGTTTTTGTGCCTCTTGCCATCAATATCAACATGTCCTCGAATCCCTGAAATAGGTTTAAATCTTCAGGGTTGTAATAGTTGCTAACACTTTCATATAGCTGTCGAGAGGAATTTGCACTAGAGTCCACAAGAGTGCATCCAACGATTGAACTTCTAAAATCCCATTGCTTTGCTTCTTACTTTAAGAAGTAACATTTTTGTCACAAATCGATCATGGTATAGCAATACATTTAAGTCTTTCGTTGTACAATAAACATTTTTTAAGGATGAAAAGCACTACTTTGAAACTTCCGAACCTGGTTTCCCTTTGTAAAAACTGGAGCATTTGTCACAGGAACAAAAATTCTGGGCCTAATAGCGATATTTCATTATTCCAACTTGCAATCATCTGATTCTCTAACAAATCTGTCACTAGTCTTTAAAATAGGCCATTACCTTGCCTTCACTGTAACAAAAATAGTGACATCATACGATGATAACTTATAGTAACAATAAATTATTCAAACCTTTTCTCTGAGAATCAAGAGCATGGTCGTAGTTGATTCGTCCACAGTTCTCAACAAGTATTTCCAGCTTGTTTTTCTCTCCTTTCTATATCAGGAAAAGCGAAAGTAATAATCTAGTCAGCACATGCGTTCAACTTCCGAGTTCTTTTTCTTTTATTTACCTTTCTTACCTATCAATTTATCATAATTCTGTATTGTATAGTAAAAAAAGCTTTGGCTGTAACATGGTCCTAATGTAGTATGGTAGTGATTGCAGCATTGCACTATTCGTAATATTGTAGTACCCAATATTGTATCTTAATTCTATATTGTGAGTAAATACGTTTTGGCTGAAGGGTGGTTCTAACTTAGTATGGTAGTGATAGCAGTAATGCACTATTCGTAATATTGTAGTACCTATCAACTTATCATAATTCTGTATTGTGAAGTAAAGAAGCTTTGGCTGTATCATGGTCCTAACGTAGTATGATAGTGATTGCAGTATTGCACTATTCGTAATATTGTAATACCAATCAATTTATCAAAATTCTGTATTGTGTAATAAAGAAGTTTTTGCTGTAGCGTGGTTCTAACATAGTATGGTAGTGATTGTAGTATTGCACTATTTGTAATATTGTAGTACCAATCAATTCATCTTAATTCTGAATTGTGTAGTAAAGAAGCTTTGGATATTGGTTAACAAACAAATGTTTAAAATACAATTAAATAATATTTGTTAATATTAAGTATTTACCTTCAGTTCAGGTAGCTTCACGGCATGCTTCAGATGGATCTTATCGAACTTTTTGACAATTACATTATTCACAATAACCTGCCAAAGGATGAAATTCAATTACATCAATAATAGGTTCATCGTTCTTTATTCAAAGATCTTGAAAACCGTTTAAACTATATTCTAGTTATTATAATATGTATAGGGATTCCATTTTAACACGTCTATGTAACAAAAATCCTCCTATTGTGAGAATCGATTAAAAATAACACAGAAGCAGACACATTGATATTTCTGCCTGACATTTTGTTTTGGTTACCCTGTATCTACATCGGTCCACAAAAAAACATTGAAAAATGCAGTGAAAATCAGGGATTAACTTGAACCTTGATTGCAGTTTGGGCGCCATGTTTTACGACTTTACTACAGATGGCACAAAGGTTTGCATAAGAAGCCCATCAGAGACAGATTTAAGGGGCAATGATTTGGGAGGGGGTTGCTAGGTAATGATTGGATTTTGGTGTCACACATTTCAGGTGACTGGAAAATAATGGAGACACCCATTTTTAAAATTCAGTTTTTAAATTTAAGATAAAGAAGATAGGAAGTCAAATAAAGCAACTTTTTTGCTTCATTTTGTTACTACCGACTACCAAAAATTACTTTTTATTTTTATTACCTTTCGGATTCAATTTCATTGCAGCATTTACCAGACTTTTGTTTGATAAATCATTATTTTCAAACTGAAATGCACAAGAGCCGTGTTAAAAAAGGCATGTATCGATAACATTACGACATACCGTCACGAAATCAACAGCATCGTGAATCGTAACAACTCTCGAATCGTCTGCTATAGTGGTTGCGTACAAGGTGTAGCCATACGCTTGTCCACAATCGTCTTTTATGGGTAACATTTCCATGGGCATCACATCATTGGACTTAATTCTCTGTAAATTAAAAAAACTTCACATTTGCTTTAAAAAGAAGGATATAGCTTCAAGAGGAAGCCATAAAACCGTCCACCTAATTCTAGGCCTACTATGTCTCGTTATTTACAGCAAATTTTTCTAAAAATGATCATAACAACGCATATCTACATGAAGCAGGAATGCAAAGAGGGGAATAAGGAATAATAATATCTAGTTTCGCTAAAAATGTCTGGTGAAATAGCAGGCCATATTTCATTAAAGCGTAGGTCAGCAAGAAAGAATACGGGGATCTACAGACGAGGCCAGAAAACTCAAGACATGTGAGATGTTATTAGCAAGACTTCTGGCAACGGTTCTATATACTTAAAGGATACAAAATATATAATCTTAATGGAATCCAAACAAGAAAAACCAAAGGAGATAAAGCACGGAGAAAGACAAGGGAAAGGAATGTAAGTAAAGAGAGCGAAGAACCATTATTGGGCATTAAGCATGCATCTGTGATCATTCTCAATTAGATGTGAGGGCTTGGAAAATAACTTCAAAAGTTAGTGACATAAGGCATCGAACAAGAGGTACAATCAAGAGTAAAATCAAGGATCAGACTAAAATAAAAGTCAAAGAACAATTCAACGTCCAAGTAACAGATTAATAAAACATTTGACGTAAGATTAAAACAAAGATCCGATGGAATTGTTTTCTTACCTTAACTTGATTAGAGAAGTCTTTTAGAGTCATGTATTGGTCAAAGTTGATTGGTTCTAGAAAAAAGGATGAAAATCAGATGGATGATACGTCTTGAATTGTTGGGGAGCAAGAGAAAGCTTTTTAATGAGGCAACCCTCCGTCCTGGAGTCAAAGATCATGCGCATGGAATGAAATCATTATTACGCATGCTCTCTGACTCCAGGACGGAGGGTTGCCTCGCTTATTTGAAGATCTTCGTTCTCTCGTCTCCCTAACAAGAAGAAACACTTTTTATTATCTAAGCAGAGAATCATTTGTGCTCTATTAGTACTATTACAGGCTAATCAAAAGTGGAATTTCTAAAATCAGTGTGATATGATTACGGCTGGCAGGGAACGAAAAACTCTGTAGTCTTCTGCATTAAATTCAATCGAAAGCGACCCTAGATCAATCCAGGCTAGTTATCTCTCACAAGGGGCAGGTTTATCTCGGTATAAGCTTTGTTGACAGAGCCTTGAAAAATTGGGGTAAGATGGTCAAAGACCATAAAAAAGGCCTCCTGTATTCTTAACTTGAAGAAGGTTGTCAGAGCTTGAAGGTATTTTGTATAAGAAAGACGGAAAACTTGTCATGATTCTGTCTGTTAGGCGAACTTGTATTAAGCACCTCGACATCTGGCTATTGGGCATCCCAACATTAAGAATAATGGCTTTCACAACCTTGGGATTTCTTTCCAATAAAAAAAAGCTTGCTCAGGGTAGTTGAGCTGGTATTACATCGTGGAGGTATATGAATTTTGCGTATATTGACAACCATAAATAACAAATTACAATGCATGCTATGAAAGCTTGGAATATTGAGCAACTTAAGCAAACGTCGCACGAGAAGCACGAAAAAAGAATTTCCTCATCTCTTAAAGGCAATCTGTCTCATTGTGGATTGGTTAACGAGAACAATGGCTGTAACAATAGCCTAAACACGATCCCAGCGCTCCGCCATATTTTTTACAATGCGACAAATTAAAGGGGGACTGGAAACAATAAAAATCTTTTTGTTCTTATAATCAATCAACGTCTTGACAGATTGCCTTTAAGTCAATTTTTAATAAATCGTCATTGTCCCCGGGGCAGAATATGATAACTGAATTCAAACTAATGGGGATTGTAGCACCCTTTTCTACCATTCTCTCAAGAAGGGCCAGATGTCTATATTCACCAAAATATCAAATCCTGGCTACCACAAAAAAGAGTAAAAGCCATGCTTACGGTAATTAACTCTGCCAAGTGTCTCTGGCATTGTTTCCAATTTGCTTGGCACTGAAAAGACAAATGGAGTATATCAAAGGTTTTTGTCAATATATTTTCCACTCAGATTAAACCAACGGTCCTCTTGAGGTTTAGCAATTTAAACGAAGTTTGAGAGTATATATGTCTCGCTCAAGTAAAGTTTTTTCTACGAAATTTGACAAAACAATTCAAGAGGCATAGGTATTAGGTCTCGTAAAGTGGAAGTCCAACTTAACTTGGGTCTCGCTTTTCGAGAGGATACTTTAAAAACAGTTGAAAAAAGGGAACGAAAATGACGATTAAATGCTATGGTAAAACACTTACTCGATCCTTCAGTAGCATGCTTCAAAATTATTTGTTTCAAAGCATAAAACTTTTTGGTCAAGTCACTAGTCTCGGACACGGGAGCATTGTAATCTAAAACATGAAATTTTCAAAGTTGTGACATAGGAAACGTGAAAAGTGGCCTAACAGTCGACACTTTAAGAAACATCAAAATTATGTAAATACGTGTTATTGACAGATGGCAATCACAAATCGTTAGTGAAAATCTTTGGAGTGCAAAAAATATATTTTCGACAGTCGAAAAAGTTTTCCCGTCTTTTATCTCTGCTTTTTGTTATCCTTATTGTTAACTTTGTATTTTTCAACATTCCCTGAAGTCGGTGCAACTAAAGTAAGACCCTCCACGCTTATTCTGGACCTCCTTCCATGTTTATCAATATTCAGAAAAAGTCCAACATGCATTTATTCTGAACTTTCCCCTATTTTTAAGGTACTTAAGACTAATGACAGAGAATGATTTAAAAACGAAGGAGTAAAATGCTTGAGCTAAAAATATAACTTGAATTAAAACCTGAGGACAATCATGCGGACATACGATAATCAAAGATGAACCAATAGAGTGTTTTTATTTGAAAAAATGGAGAAGGGCGACTTGTGGAAGGTTAATGAAACTTCATCCAAAAGAATCTCTCCTTCAAATTGCATCACATCTATCAAATAGAGTCTAAACTAGCCTGACAAAAGTAAATTCACAAGCCATAAGAACTGTAGATCGTTAAGACTTTGCTAGCTAATGACAGAGATATAGCATATTCTTCCTAAAAAATAATAAATATAAAAAATATTCTACACCGTACCGTAACTTGAGATGGTTGGAAGGTAGACTTGACTTCCAGATTTCGAATTTGCACCATTCATAAAACCAAAATTTGTACCACCTAAAAGTTAATAAAGTTATATTTAGGAAAAAAAGCATATCACGAGTAAACCATATGAAAGTATGATAAATGATTAAACAACATAATGTAAAACGCTACTTGATTAAGAAATGACTAGCATATGTCCACCTTCGAGACAACACATACAATTTACCCCTTCCCTCCCCCCTTCTCTTCAAGACAGGAACAGCAGAAGGTGTATCTATTTACGAGTCGGTTACCGATAATTTTATGCAAAACTTCGATCAAGCTTTAAGGAGTAGAAATCCATTCTAAGGCAACAAAGAAAAAGCAAAAAAATATCAGCAGTATCTTTGAAGAAACTTTACATGCAAATGGTTTGTTTAATCTCAGCTGAAGCAGCAAGTATGAGAAGTGGTGACTTCGATAACATCAACAAGCACACCACAAGCATGCTTTATATAGAGGCGGATCATTATATCATATGAATACCGAGTAAAAATTTTCAACATCCCTGTTGACTTCTACTTTCACTTTTTAGCCCAAAGCTCATTTTGAACTCTAATTTTGCAAAACTTCAAGTTTTGGCTTGCTATTCAGCATTCAGAATTGCAGCTTATTGTCTAGACATCTCAAAGTAAAAAATTTGAGAAATTACCATGAAACATGTAGAAGTTGAACGATGCTCCGCTTGCCAGTATTGTCCTAAGGGCCTTCTCAATTCTTTCAATTTTCACTGTATGGTGCTTTTCTCCCCAGTGGTCAAACCAACCGGACCAGAATTCTGTTACAAAGACCGGCATGTTGGGCTGAAACAGAAAACCAGATAGTCCGGTTTGGCAAGGACTGGCAGAAACAAAGCATGAATCAAATTTATCAAAATTCAAATAGCTGTGAATGAATTTTTAAAATGGCCCCGAATGGTGATAAATGATTATGGTGACATAAGGTAAAATGACGAGCTTCTCTGTAATTTGAGTCCCTGGCATTCCAGAAAAAAGTCCATCAAGGCAGACTGAAAACAAACTTATCGGATACGATTAGCATTTACATTGAATGAAAATGTTTTACTTGAATTGACTTATATCTTCACTAGAATTACTGACAGGTTACCACGTATAACCAAACAGCCTCCCTAACCAAAAATACTTTATATTTTCATTTAATTCAAATATAGTCTCTGCTTAGTCTTGAATGACAAAACTGTTTCTGTTGCAAAAGCCCAATTACAAAATAAGTTACAAAATATAAACAATGCCCATTTTCAAGAAAATTCCGTAAAAAGACGAGTCAATGTAGTGACTTTGCTACCGCAGAAAGTGTTTGTTTCTTGTTTGCCATGAACTGCGTGCAAGTTTGAAATATTGTTGTTCGTTGTTCAGCGAAGCAAATAGCGTTGGTTGGTTGTGAATAAAAATTGATATCTGAAAAAACCCTTTGACTATTCGTTTGGTTCACTAAACAGCTATGACGCTGTTAAGATGCAAAAGAAAAGAAAACATCAACAATAGATTGATAATCAAGAACAACAAGAGGAAACAAATACCTGATACTTCTCTAGCTTTTTTATCATTGAAGCAGCATTTGTCTGAAAATTTATGGTTTGTAATGCTAAAAGGAAAAAAACCTGAAGATTCAAACCATCTGCGTTTAATAATCATATACGCACAAACAGACGCATAGCAAATTGAATAAATATTTTCAAACAATTTACTAAAAGGAAGAGATGGTAATATAAGACCCCAAAATAACAAAGATTAGGCAGCCAAGACTCCAAATTGAAAATAATTACAAGATTGATTAGTTAAATATACAGAAGCTGAGATTTTGAAGAATATACTTGCTTCCTTTAATATGAGCTTTTCCAAGTCCACTGTCATTATCAGAAACAAACAACAATTCTTCGATTCCTCTCTTGCGATATCCCTTCAAGAAAGCAACACACATTCAAAAGAGGCACAATTAGCCGACGAAATTTTAACCACAAAGTAAATTTTCCAAGCAGCTTAAACTAACTAGAATTAGTCAAAGTCTTGTTGTGAAGGTAATGAGCAACATGCAAGCAATGGCGGACATATGCGAGAGATGAAAACAATGCCAGCAAAAATACAAAAAAATAAATAATCTTTAACAAAATTTTTACTTCTTTTGAAAATTCAAAAATTAGATTAGCGAAAGAGGTAGACCAGAGGTGAGAGGGGGAGCATTATCACCTGAGCTGGCAATTAACCAGACTAACTTTTTCTGACTCAATTTTTTGTGTAGATTACGAATCCGGATGTTGCTTTTGCGTTTAGGGGGGCGTTTTCTAGATATAGGGGGTCAAAGACCAAAAAACACAAATTGTCCCAATTTGACTGTATTCAATTATTGCACTTTAGAAAATGTTTAATTTTATTAAAAATTGGTGTGTTGATCAATGCTCTGTCAAAATTGGCCTTTTCTGGCATTGATGGAAGGGGGGGCAGGCAATTACAGGGAAGGGGAAATTCACTATTACTGTATTCTTAAAGCGTTTACTTTATTCGCTTTCTCTTTCTGATTCGCTTTATTTTTCTTCGCTTTCAAACAATAGCTCCGTAATGTCCTCAGGATAGTATAGTAGGGCTCCGTTAACCAATCAATTAACAGATCTTCTAACCAGCCGTTAATGACTGGTTCTTTTTTGTTGATTATGCTTTGTAAAGCTTGTCTCTATACCCTTGCTACAAAGTTTGCTCGCTTTAAGTGTTTTTCGAGGCTGCTTTTACATGGGGGCAGCATGCAGGCCAAGGAGCGCTTGCTTCCGCAATAAGATTGCGCAAAAGCATTTAGATCCAGTACTCTCCTGTATTTTCCTCTTCCGTTCTCCATAAAGACATGCAAGTTTTTAGCCTCGTTGGCTAAAAGGATAATAAGAATATCAACATCTCCAGAGCGCACAATGCAAATTGTCTCCTGTCCATTATTCATCCGTAGGGCATGGTGAAGTAGGTAGCAGATTTTGGTATCTGCTTTTCCATGGTTTGTGTTTGATTTTCCCACCTGAGTTACCCCTTTGCTCTCAATCGTAACACAAGAATGTTTTCATGCAAAGTATATTACTCGATCGTTGAGTTGAGACTACTTATTGTGGCGCTAGAAATTCTCCGACGGAGGGGCTTGACCTTCCGATAGGGGGGCTATGCAATTGGAGAGAAAGCATGGAATCCCAATTGCAAAAAGATGCAATTGCGATTATGACAGGACATGAATGTAACAAACAAGAAAGAACAGCTACTTAAAGCGTCATTAATAGTCTTTTGTGAGGAACTCGCTTTTATAACAAAATATCCCTAAAAGACAAAAGACATATGCTAAGAAAGTTCTTTGTAGGTCTTTTTCCTTGATTTTTCTATATTCACAACGCTGTAAACTTTTCTGAGTAATAAAAAACGACGTCATTTAATCATTAAACAGAATAGGAACCATTACACGAAAGTTAGTACCTGAGGCGGCACCCTGGTTGCCGCAAAAGGTCGGGGAAATTTTCGAACTTTGCTGCTTTCAGTTTGCTGGAAAATTCACTCATTAAAGACATTTTTACTACTTTACAATACAGTCTTATTCTTAAAATAAATATCCGCGGGTGGAACGCTATGTGACGGTTTTAATCGATTTTCTGGTAGTCATTCTCATCATTAGCGCACCCAACGCTGAAAAATTGTAATGTGGAGTTTAGCTCCCACTGGTTTCAGTTTGCAAATTAACGGTTGAAATATTAACGTGCCGAGGAGCGAAGAGGAACAAATCGAAATGAAAATGAAAACAATCAAATATACCATCGACTATTATTGATTTTTTTAACTAACGCCACCACCAAGTTTGCTGAGTAAGCACCAAAAATGACGAATCTGCCGAGTTAAGAACAGATTCAGAATTCTTGGGGGGGAGGGGTGTTACCCATGTGTCCCCATGTGTTAGTTTTTAGATCTCATATGTTTTCTATGTCTTTTTAATACTATCTCTTTATCTTTTGAAATTATGTCCCAATGATCTTTTAGAATTTTCCTTATATTGATAGTTCAATTGTCTCTGGTATACATCAAAGTATTCGATTTTTGTAACTTTTATAATTGTGCTCCAGATAATTCACTGATTAATGTTGAAGATAAAAATAACTTACAGAAAGTTTTTCATTTCTTTACTCCAAAGATTTTTCAAGTTCTCATCGAAATTTCACCGATTATTTTTCCAGATTAATTTTTGGCACCGGGCTTTTTGGTACCATGATTGATTTTAATGCTGTATGTAGTAGCATTAGTATCTTGGCTGTTTTACGTCTGTATCCGTCAGTTGTTGCAAGGGCAAGAGGAATAGGAAGAGCTTTGTCTATATCAACGGATCCCTTTTCTTTGAACCATGTTGAACAACAAGTTTTCAAAACTTCTTATATTTCTTATATTTGAAACTATTATCACTGTCTTTTCGTTTTCGTAAGATTACTACATCACCAGATCATACCAAAAATTACCCATTTTTAAAGTGTAATAGCGGAAAACGGTCAAATTAGGTCACATCGCGTGTTTTTGGTCTTTGACCCCCTATATCTAGAAAACGCCCCCCTAAACGCAAAAGCAACATCCGGATTCGTAATCTACACTAAAAATTGAGTCAGAAAAAGTTAGTCTGGTTAATTGCCAGCTCAGGTGATAATGCTCCCCCTCTCACCTCTGGTCTAAGGCTGTTAATGTCGCAAAGATCAGTGAAATGCGAATGCATGTTTCTCAGAATGAGCCAAGAAAGTCCACTTCTATCTTACCCAAACCCAGTACCATAAATCCTCGAGGTTTCCCAATGGTGCCAAACACAATCTATCAAGGCAGGTCACTTAACCAACACGAGCTCAAAAAGTTTAAAAATGTTGGTGCATCTAACACATTATCCAAACGGGTTTATAAAGATGATTTCATACTTACTTTTTCAAAACGAGCTAAGGAACTCTATTATTGGCTAGTCTACAAGTAATTAATACAAGAACGCCTGCCTAATTAAGCCATATTAACAGAGAAAGCAGTTGCATTTGCATAAAGTACCTTTACAAGATGCCTCATGTACGCCAGATCAGAGCCATAGCTACCGTATTCGTTCTCAACTTGAAAGGCAATAACAGGCCCTCCTTTTGAAAACTAAAACAAAATTTCGAAGAATTTTCTTGGAAGAAGTAAAAATTTTATGGATAATTATCTAAGCTTGTCACATTCGAAATAATCACATTCAGCTTGAAACATTAAAAACTTTCTTGAACATTAATAGTGACAAATCAAAAGTCTAATTACATGGGAATCCCGATATAACGAACTCTGAAGGGAACCAGAAAATAGTGCGTTATATCGGGAGTTGGCTAAACCGGGAGAAAACGTTTATCAGGTCTTTTCGCAGTTCAGGTCTAAAAAACCTGCAGTTGGCTTGTTTATGCTATCTCAAACTTCTGTGTACATTTTACTCCAAAAAAACAAGCTGAATTCAAATATTACTAATGGTTAGTCATCGAAAATTAAGATCCTTATTTTCCCCTTATAATTTGGTACCCAGAAATTAGCAAAGCTGATATCGCTTCACTTCTAGTTAGCGGCTGAATGACGTCTTCGATTACTTCACATTCTTATTTGTTTTTTTCTGTTTTTTTCTGCTGGAATACCATGCGACATTTGGGTTTCTCAATAAAATTTTGTCGTCACTCATTGCCAATGTCTTATATGTAAAATGGTATTCCATAGTGTTAATGTACTCATTTGATTTACTTTTTGACGCAATCAAACTTTCATCTCTTGCACTGAGTCTATCAGACAGTGCTTGAAATGTATCATCAGCATGTTTTGTAGCCTGCGTGCAGACTCATGTAGCCTGCGTGCAGACAAAATTGAAAATAGGAGAAAAAGTGACTTTATCTCTTCTTTTAAATTTCCGAGTCTGCACGCAGGCTACACGTTTTGCCGATGACAATAATGATTTCCCCCAAGGGAAAGAGATAAATGAACATTAAAATTAAATAAATAAAAATAACAGACAAAAATATTATGAAAAGTTTGTTATACCGAGGGTAGTTTTGATGAAGGGATCCAAAATTTCTAGTTTCTTTGTTTCTAGCCTCCACATTAGGCCAAACCCAGCAATTGAAAATTATAGTGTGATTTCCCTTACGTAAATATATGCTTCTCCCACTCCTATCATCGTCATTTCGGTCACTCTGCACACAGCACACAATGTAAGCATCAAGTGCTCATGACATTAATACGATAGCACTAAGTAGAAAGCTAAGCATTACATTCGTACCTGGAGCTTTGCAAGAATTGGAAAGAGTTTATCAAAGTAGCGATCAACTGCCTTTAGAAATGGAGGATAGCTTGATCGCAATCGCATTTTAGGATCTCGCAACAACCAGCTGAAATCAAAATCATCTTTATTATATTTTTACGGGTTAGAATGATTTGAAATTTCTATAGAATATTTGCAGAATGGAATTTGCATATCCTATTATTCTGGTTGAAAAGAAAAGATTATGATACATTTATTTAACTTTTTCTTTTATGATAAAGTTTTTTGATATTCTACAGTAAAAGCTGTGTCAGATTCCAATCAAGAGTTTTTTCGTTTTAACGATAGGCAGGACCAAATTTGCAGAATTGCCAGCATAAATTTGCTGGTAGATGGTTGGTAGACGTAAAGAGTGTTGCTTGAAAACAATTCCGATTGCTTATTGCTGTTTGCTACAAACGAATTTTGCTTCATTCAGAATAGTTCAATAGACTTAAATAAACTAGATTAAATAAACTTGTTTGAATTTATTTGTTAAAGCCAAAAATTCCAACAGAAACTCGATCAAGACTGCACATCTTTTAAAGAATCCAAAGTGTCGCAAAAACATACAGTTTTGACAACATTAGCAAAATCAGGTCAGCAATGGTCGCCTTTGTTTAGGTCTTTTAGAATCCGCTTAAATCAAAACAAAAGCCAATGAAACACATCATTGCTCCTTTCAAAAAATTTTGACTGGCAACGAAAATTAAGGAACGCAATTTACCTGGGCAGGCCACCGAGATCCCATTCTGCACAAATGTAAGGTCCTGGACGAATTATGACGTATATTCCAAAAGTCTGGGCCAAGAGAACAAAATCCCTGTCGAAGAATAGACAGATTTAATATATATCGTAACATTTACTAAGAAATCGTTAATTTTGACCCAATTCGAACTGAACTTCATGTTAACTCCTTACATGCGACATACTATCATACAACTTGCTTTGAAGTTTGCACAAAACATTGTGTTTCATATTTCAAATATAATTTAATTTTTAATTTTATACAATAGTAAGTTATACAATAGTATTTAAAAGCAGACATGACAAGGATTGTCTTATTTTTTAAATCTTAAACAGGAAACATCTAAGTAGCTTTTCTTATGCTGTATACTTTACTGTCGACTACCTCTCCAATACTTTAGAGGGCAATGATCTTGTGTTCTAGAACAATGGGAAATGTGACGTCATCTTGTTAAAACAATAGGCTTGCCCCCCCCCCAAATATTTGACCAAGTGTCCGCCCCTGTTTGAAATAATAATCAATTGCCTCTTTAGGAAATTGTTGAGAGTAATCCTGTATAGCTTCTGGCATTAAGCAAATTCATTTAAAATGTGGTGCCTACCAGAAAATTTACTATGAGGAAAAAAGACATTTCTTAGATTGGCAGAACTATTTTCAGATATACCTAGCCATTAAAAAACCAATGTTGTTAGAAATCCATGTTTTTGAGAATTCGATTTTTTAGTTAGTAACGATAGGGAGAGAAGTAACAGTCTCACAGCAGGGTTCAGCCAGGGAGAGGAAGATGCTAAAAAGATAGGGAGGTGAGATGAAGTTTGTCAATCTTAGTTATGGATAAAGATAGGAAGGTTATAAGAATCTTGGATGTAAGAAGTTTACAAACTCTGGTAAAAAAGAGGAGTTGTAGGGACAGTGTTCGTCAGATATTGAAGTATGTTAGATTCCAAGAATATTTTAAAAATAGATGCCGGTCATGCAAAAAGATTAATTTTTGTGTAAAAAAGATAATTTTTGCTGCCGTGCAACACACAACAGGGTGTTGCAACCTGACTTTGCTGCCAATCAAAAGATCAGGTATACGGTGGTTATTTAGAACTTCTTGAATTAAATTTTTGAAATGTAGTCTTCAGCAGGAAGATATCTGGAAATCCAGGAAGAGACAGAAAACTACTAGCGTTAAATGGAAAAAGGTTCAGATGGTGAATGTAAAAGATAGTACTTGGTTATCAGGTTTTTCAAAGATTCTACTATGTCTATATGAAAAAGAATCATGATAGAGGAAATCAGTTCAAGTAGATTGTGTCCCATGAGCCTTACTCTATTCCAATTATTCCTGCAATATTTTTTAAAATTATTACTGATCGACTTTGCATTTCAAATACATTTGTATTTATCTAATTTGATGAAATATTTGTATAACCACAGAACACCTTAAGACTACAGAAATGTGGCTTTAAAGAATACCATGTTCTAGAGATACTAATCAGATGTCAACTGAAAGATCCCTACAAAATTGTCTCACCTTATAGACAGGTCTCCTTCAAAATCAAAAACACCAGGTTCTGGTTCATGCAAATTCCATGGAATATAGCTAAAAGTAAAATATTATTGTTTGAATCACAAAAGAAACAAAGACAGCACCACACCAACTTATGTGGGGACTTTCATTAAAATGGGGTTTTAAAATTTAGGAGCACCTTATTCTCTCTTGTATGTTTATTGATTAATGCAGGCTTATTGATTAAATCTACTACTTTAACGTGGGATTATCAGAGAGGCAGGATTATCAGATTAATTTTTCAACATGCTTTAAGAAAGCGGGCTTAAAATCTCAACACAGGAATAAACCAAGAAAGTAGTCTACTTTTCAGGGTTACAAAGATTTCAATTTCAAACTTATTACAGTTCTATTCTCAAAAAACATAAATATCACTTGACAACTGAACAAAAACAAATCAGCCTGTTCTAGTTTTTGTTACAGTGTTGTGTTCTACTTTTAATTTAATTGTCAAAATTGACATCAACATCTTCCATATTTCTCATCAAACCTGCATGTGAGAATATCAGAGAGGTGGGAATAATTTTTCAAAGTAAAGAAAAAAGTTGGAATATTGAAGTGAGCAGGAATACAAGAGATAAGATAGTATCTATTTTGTTTGGTGGAAATAAAAAAAGTTGTATATGAGGGTTGTTGCAATAGCAAGGGTTTAAAATTAAAAGCTGCCACTATGGTAATCAATTTCTGCCATTCAATTTTCACAAAACATCAATGATGTTCTAACTTAGGGCACTTTTGGATTTTCCCTATTCAGTTTCCTATATGTGAATTCAGGTTATAAAATGGTAGCACAAAGTAACTTTCCTGTAGAAATCATGTTTAGAAGAATACTTACGTTTCAACTGTGTTTAGTCCCATAGCTTTTAGCTTTATCAGTCTGTCATCCCAGTAATCTTTTGGAATTCTAAAATAGTGCATTGCTCCACTCATAATTTGGAAGTGTTTTCCTTCTATTGTGAAATTCTTTCCTTTAGTGGATAAGCCAATTTGCTTTACAGCAGATGTTCCTACAGAAACATTTTCAACGTGCTTTCCTGCCATCAACAAGTACATAAAGCACACAGCTATTAAAAGCAAAAACATAACTTGGATGGAACTAAGGCGGCTAAATGCTTGTTTTGTGCCTTCAATCATTTCCAGATATTGCTTTTGTCTTTCACAATGTCTTTTTTATCTACAGTTCCCTTTTTCCCAAGCACAGCCTTCTTTTCTTTGAAAATTAGGTCTTATCTAATTCTGAAAAAATTTCTTTCAGAAGTTTGATGAGTTGACCTGAAAAACAATGCAAAAAGCAAAGTTTGTACAGTCAAAACTATAATATATTCTACAGAAATCTAGATTAAACACAGTCTTTGTCATTTGACAGGTGGTAAACTGATGAATTTTGTTCTGGAGAATGAAGGGCCCAAATTTTCCTGTAATCATCAGTCACCAATAATTCTTGCCAAAATCACCTATAATTCCTGTCAATAACTATCTCGCATATGTTCCCAACATATTCACACTGCCTTTTTATTCTTCCTTAACATAAGCTGATATGGTGATCTCAATTCAAGTCTAAATTTCTTGAAAAGTTTTGAACTCTTGCTACATAAACTGCAAGTACTTAAGTTGCTGTATTTGCTTCAGTTATAAACATTGTTTCCAGGCACTAATAACAATTAATCTATTTTTATCAGTTACTTAAGTAGCTTGCAATTTACAAATAGCAGCCATTGCTTCATTTGGACAAATCTAACCAAATTCTTCCCTAAAGGAGTAAAAAAACTAATTTGAATTTAATGATAGGTTTTATAGGCAGAAGTTAGGTACAGCTATAGGCACGAAGTTCGCTCTGGCCAATGCCAAATTTTAAAGCCAAGGATAGAGGAGAGGTTAATGGATACCTTCGCCAACAAGCCCTTGTCTGGATGAGATTTATCAATAATATTTTCTTTATCTGGACATACAGGAAATATAGGTTGAAGATATTCATTGACGATGTCAACAATAGCCATGACACAATAAAGTTTACTAGTAAACATTCTACTGAATCTATTAGTTTCTTAGATGTCACGGTAAAAGTAGGAGACCTTATGACAGACTTACTTTGTAAGCCAACTGATACCCATCAGTTCTTACATAAGAAGTCTTGTCACCATTGGCATACAAAGAAGGCGAGCCCCTATAGTCAGGCTCTTAGGTATCATAGGATTCGCTCAGATGATGGCCAGTTTAAGGAACATATAGGTGGCTCAAGGATAGGGGGTAGAAGAGTCCTTAGTTAATAAACAAATAGATAGGGTATGTAGACTAGATAGGGAGACTCTTCTCGAAAAATGCAGGAAATAGGAAAAACAACAAAGGGAGGGCTGAGAGGGTTCCATTTGTTACTACATACCATCCGGCACTTGGATTGGGGAACATTGCCAGGAAACACTATGCCTTGCTCACTGGTTCAGAAGAGCACAGAGAAGTGTTTCCTGTGCCATACCAGTAGCTGCTTTTAGTAGGCATAAGAATCTTAAGGATATCTTGGTTAGGGCTAGACTTACTTACTAGTGGGAGGGAGAAGGGACACAATAACAGGGGAAGCAGGGACCTCGCACCACTGAAAAAGTGAAGGGGCTGAAATGGGTGTGACCAAACATTTGTTGAGGCCACGCCCTCTTGAACGCCGGAAAACGCCCCTTTTAGAAAATACTTGCTTATTTCTATTAAATTTTTATAAACAGTCTGGTTCAGAGAAGATATCAATAACTATAAAAATAGATAGAATTAGCTCGTGGGTAACAAAAAATCAAGCTAACAAAGTTAGAAAATACATCATATCATTAAACAAGATGAAACACCTAGAAAAAGAACAGAAATGGTTCCCCATCAAGAAGAACTGCTACTTCATAGGAGTAAACTATCCAAAGTTGCATTAGAGTAAACCTTCAAAAAATTTTCTTGCCTATTATTGCAAAAAAGTGGGTGGGCTATAGCCCCTGCTAGCCCAATGGCTGCGCAGTGCCTGAGGGGAAGTTTGTGCTGTAAGAAGTACAGATGTCAAGTGTGTAAAGCCATGTCTAACAGCAATAATTTTAAGTCTAGCACTACAAGTAAAGAATATAAGATCAACTATTCGGTCTTGTTAACTGTGACTTGTACAATGTTGTGTACTTGATTGAGTGCAATGTCTGTGGTGTCCAGTATGTAGGTAGCACATGCAGGCCTTTTACGCCCAGGTTTAATAATTACAAGATGTGTAGTCCCAGATTGGAATATTTGCCTTGTCAGCCATGATTGCAGCCACGCAATTTCTATTGAAATGATTCACCCAGCTGCACAGGGTTCTTCTTTAATTGTAAAACTTATCTTGTATGTACTTAATAATTGACGCTTTTAATGAATTTTGAATTTGAAGACCCTAAGAGTTACAGATCGTCTAGGTCGTCATTACTTTTTGCTTGTGTACACATAAGGCTGGTTTTCGTACACACATATGCCAAATAACAGCAAACATGTGAAGGATATTTCTATCATTTCTGGGAGTAAAATACACATGGAACAGGAAGATCTAATTCATTACCATGCACAAAGTTTTCAAAGTTTGAGCAGATTTTGGCTTACAGAAACAATTCTCATCTGGTTGGGTCCCTCTCATTGTTATTTTTAGGAATTATGAAAAATGCTTATCTTTGCTATATTGTTTTTATCACCTCTAATGATGTTACAAATGTTTTTTTCTGAAATGTATACCGAAAAGTTAAATACTGTGTTTTTATGGTAATTATGGTTATTCACAAAATCTTTAGCTGTGCTATTTGCAAATGCGCAATTTTTCATGGACATGCAACAGATCCCATTCCAATCTGGGTATAGTCGTAAGTTTCATTTGGGGTCAAAAAGGATACAGGCTTATTTTGGGCTGGTTGTTGGCTAGACTTTGATCCTTTTGTGTGGCTTTCGGTGCATTTAGATGGTCTGGCTATCATGACCGGTACGGCTTAAACGAATCTAAGTTGCCCAGCACAAGCACAAACACTGCTTCTCCTTTCCTTATCTCCAGTAGGCGTCCCAGGAGGTAAGACGTTATAAAGGTAGGCTATGAAAAGTAGCATTGATTTGAAATTTGGCACAGTGGAGCGTGTATATATCGTAGAAAGGTACTGCAAGCCAGTCAGAAATATGAGTCCATCCTATTCATCCTGCACAAATGGTAACGCACTATGTTACCTTTCACATTGGCTCTATACCATTCCTCGCAACGCAAGCAGTGGTGAAAAAAGACTGAATTTAGGCCAAGACTTGACTCTAAGTCTGCATTTGACGCTATTATGTGTATCAACATGAAAACGGTTTTCCTTTTTTATCAAAACTTCCTGTTTCCTTTTTATTATGAAAGATTACACTCACCTACTTTTATTGTTTCGATGTCGCATCCATGTGTCGCAGCCTCGCAACTCGTAACAGTAGAAATCACGCAAAACGCTCCCTCGTCCTCGTGCTGGCACCAACCTCGTTCGCAATTCAGAATGAAATTCATGGGCGTCTCCTTACCATGGGGGCTGTCTTTTTACTCATTTTATGTTGCTACGGTAAGGTTTTTTTTTTTTGTTTCTCCAGTGGTGGAATAGCCCACCGGGATACCAGATAATTTTCCAGTAGACCCCTGTCAAGAGTTTGTTATGGTCTTCAAAATAGATGTGGATCTTAACACAACATTACCATTTCAACAGGCCTACAGTACCATTTCAACGGGCAAGCCCAGAAAATCAATCGAGGAAGTTTATATGATACATAACATAAGAACCATGTAGAAAGGTGTTATAAGATCTTTTACCCTGTGTACCAAAGCCGCAAAGGGACAGATACCAGTGACCGAAACTAACAACTTAAAGTTAAGTTAAGGTTAAAGTTAAGGAACGAAAAAGGTTTTTGATTAAAGCCTCACAAACCCAAACAGGGAATGATCGTAGGTGCCCATTGAAAGCAGTAGAGTTAATAAGCTTGGAATGCACAGAAAGACTTTAATTCGTATGCCTTCTTTCATGGGCGCTTCACTTCGCTTCGTCTAGGACTACGGTTGCTAAGGAAAAACATAAATATATGCGATCATATCACCAATGAAGGTAAATCATATCACCAATAGTAACCATCGATGTAAGGTACTCATTGCAGCATGAACGTTGATTGAAAGGGTTGAAGGTCGTTATAAAAGGAATTGGTTCGAGAGATTTGGAGAAGAAGGAGGTGTAGGGTCCCCCATTCCAATATAAGATTAGATGGTTACGGTGAGAGGGTTGGGCAATACTTTAGAAGATAAGAGAAAGATTGGATAGGCTGACTTGCTTGACGTTACCAAGGTTGGATTATGGGAAAACTTTAGGATCTGTCTTTGCATAATTCTATAATATTTCTTAATCAGTATTGTGCAAACGTTTTATAGTTAAACCGTGTCAAATTTCAAATACATGAATTAAAAATCTGCAAGATTTTTCCAATTGTCTTGTCAAAATCAAGCCAAGAAAAACGCAGGGCATAATTATAATTTTGTCAATAGTGCTAAGGGATTTCCTTGGCCGTAAATCAATGTTGTTAATCTTCTGGACCTACTTTCCGACTATCCCTACTATATATTGTCATTTAAAACTTTTCCAACTTTTGTCACAACGCAAAGCTTCATAATTTGGCAAGTGTTGAAAATAGTTACTTTTCAGCATATGTTCCCTTTTAACTGTAATAGTTCTTGTGCCTTTCGTATGCTGTTTTGCAGATATGTAATTGTTTATAAACTTCTTAAAAAGCCTTTTATTAAGTTTGTGAACACTGAGAATATCTCCAGGAACTTAGAGAATATCACATCATTTTATCGATTATCTGCATTTTAAAATACAAACGCAAAGAAATGACTGAAAACACACGAATAAACGAAAATATTTACAGGTGAGATTCCTATCTCGAATCTTGCAAAACAAACCCAGTGGCAGATTGTGTGGGTGTTGCCTTCCCAAACAATCACGTTTCCATCCATCACTCAACTCTCGATAATTGTATGATCATATTCATTGCAGCTGGCCAATGCACGTGAAATGGTGATTTATAACCGCCATGTAGGATGCCCTCTGAGTTTAACTGAGCCAGAATATATGCATTGATTATCCAATGTTCAATTCTTGTCCTTAACAACTGCGCGAGAACACGACATTGACCAAAACAATCCTGGAATTTCGTATCATATCAAGAGATTATGCAATCACAGGCAAGTCGTCTTTATCAAGAATTATAAATATGTATACTGAGAGTGAAGTATGATTCCATGGTTGATCATCGCAATAGAAGTCATTTCTTGTTCTGATTCATGAATAAAGGATCTCTTGCTTTGCATTAGCCAAATATTAATTAGAAAGACCAGTTGAAAAAATCGCATTCTCTGTCAATCGCTGGCTCCACTTTGCAGAAGCTTCTGATGGCCAACTGTTCATTGATGACCCAGTTTCTCTTGATGATTGTAATAAAGGAATAGGAGGTCTCTTCGGAATATCTACGAATTGTTGTTTATAAGTTTGCAGCACTGCAGAGAATTGTACCGTATCATAAATAACAGCACAGTAACAATGATAAGCATGATTTGGAATGCAATTTCATAATAGACCGGCTTTTATTGGAAATCTTTTGCCTTGTCAATCAAGTTCATATTGCACGTTTATTGGAAAGTGTAGTTCTATTTGCCTAGCTGTAGATTGCTACGGGAAATTTGCAGCCACAAAGAATCTTGCTTGATTTGGAGAATTTGCAGACTGAAACCAGGCTTGTTCTATATTGATATGGCTTTTACTTGATATCAACTGCCATTCAAGCTGATTTACCAGTTTTCAGCTGTGGAGTTTCACCTAGTGTCCTAGATTTACCCAGGCTGATTGGAACCGTACCGGTCATGATAGACAGAACAACGAACAGAGACAACGGCAGCGCGAAGCCTTACAGAAAGGTTTCAACAATTGCAAATGGGGATCTGTACTGGTTCTCTATAGACTTGACATGCTTAGACAGAATGGACGAGTCAACAATACAGCAACTAGTGTACGAATTTGGGCTGCATGTAAACAGAGACCAATGTGATTTGAAGCAACTCAACATCGAAGATATAACTTTTATCATATCAAATGAGACATTAAATTAAAGGTACTAAAGAACACCAAGGGAATGTCTATTAAAATCGGTGTATATTTAATTGTAAATGCTACTTGCTCAGTTTTAATGAAGAACAGGTGAATCAGCAAGAAAATTTCCTATTGCCGCAATTACGCAAGGAAATTTTTGAAGTTCATTTTATTGGAATCTTAAGTTATTTTGGGATAATTTTTATAAAGAATCGAGCAGGCATTATGCTTTCCATCCATCAGCATAATTTGTAATATATTTATATATATATATATATTCAACCTTCTTTCACCAACTAAATACGAAAGTTATGCACAACCCAATCAACCTATCTGGCATAGATTTTTGAAAATTTCATCAGTTTACAGAAATCTATCTAAAAACAAAAATAGCTCGATTGCAATGGAAGGCTTAAAAAGGTTTATCAAACATTCAAAGAGCAAACGACACTCGACAATCTGAAATGGTGTTCAAACATGGTGTTCAAGGGCCTCAACATTTCACCCAGCATCATGAATGGAGCTCCAGGTATCTGCAGGTATCTTACAGGTATCTGCATTTGCGGTATGATTTGATCAGTAGTCCTATCAAAATAATGCGAAAAAATGGCGGTATGGCGACAGCTATCCGGAACAGGGTAAACATCATCCAAGAAACTGGGGTTGGGTGGGGATAAAAAGAGAATTAAACACAAAATAGAATCTTCGTTAACAACCAATGTTCATAAATTAAAAAAAATAACACCATAATGAGATAGCTCTACAACGAAAGGTGACAATTTATCATCTACGTAATTATCTTTGATACAACCAAAAAACAAGCTAAAAATTGATGCTAATAATATACGTAACAGCGCTTTAGTTTACAGTGGCTGGGATGTATCAACATATGAACCCATCAGTATTTAAGATGGTAAGAGGGTATTAAATGCCAAGGACGGTGTAATATTAGAGTACCCAATAATACAAAAATGGTGTTCTGTTATAAGGCTAGAGGGTTTCGACTCATTTAGGGCTTCATCGTAACGAGTCTATGACACAGGAGGCACGAGAGCTGCTGTCGTATAAGATTAATCATCTTACGGAGTTGGAGTGCTTTAGCTGAAATGAGACTAATACTCGGTTATAGGAATCGAACATTGAAGGCAAACTACAGCGCATGGTAAATACTCAAATTGATCTTAAGGCGAAATGAAAAGCTAGAGGCAGGAATATTTTGAAATGGGAAACGGAATCGGTAAAATTGAACGACTTCGATTTTTATCGAATATTGCCCTATATTAGTTGAAACACCATTAGCCTAGCAATACGCTGAAATGAATTTAATGGATGACATGAAAATATTTTGTGCTTTGAGAGAGTGTCTTCAAATTCTCTCCACCAAAGGCATTTTTTGACATAATATTAACCAATAACAAGACAGCATCAAATAGACGTTGCAAGAAACGGATAGTTGATTTAAATATGTTATCTGCATTCAAACATGTAGACGGTTTTCAGGTAAGGGACGAAAACAGATTACATTGTGGGATTTGAAACATGTTTAATACCTCAACAGGCTTATGGGTCAACACCACCACGAAATTATCAGAAATATGATCATCATATAAGACTCCAATTTAGAATAGCGAAATGGTGTCTAGTAAAACAATATGGTTGAATAAAATATCAACTAACATTCTATTTGGAGATAAATAATAAAATTAGATCTGAGGCTAGAGACAGGAAAGAGGCCTAGAGACAGAAGCGAGGCAATTATCATAGCTACATCCAGAAGAAATTAAAGTTACAAACCTCAATCGAATGGCAAACGTCAGTGACAATATAGCAAATTAAAACAAATCAAATATAAATTTATGGCTTTCAAAAGCATCACTAGAATTTGTTTATAGTGGTTAAGCTTAAGATTCTGGTTATGTCTGAATTGTTCACGACTGCCAAAGTACGCGCAAAATCCAAAACTGCAGTACCATATATGGTGGTAGGGAACATTTAGCCTATATACACTACAAAAGATCACGCATAGATACATTAACTTGCAAACTTGCTGAATGCAAGCGAGCTACTGTTTCTAACTTATTCATGATTAGGCGTGTCGTAAAGAATTCAGACTGAAATATCTACATGACTAAGTGAAAAGAGTACGATCGCTAGCTGCACTGCACGTGTCGTAGGTGAAAGCAGAAATACTGCCATAGTCAATCAAATGGAAGCACCAGTAATACAAATAACTTCCCATGGAAGAACCCATGAATGTCGTACACACCCTGCAGCATTTGAACTAGTTGTCTCTCATAACTTGTCTCGAGTCGGAATCCAAACGATCGGGCCTGACTGTTGACGAATGACTTTCTTGACGGATGAATAGACTTCTTCATAGGTTTCCCCGCTGATGATTGCTAAAATAGTAAAGAGAGTTTCTCAATCACTATATACAACTGGAGGGATAAAGACAAGTTACACCTGGCCTATAACTGCAAGACATTTCCTTTTAACAAAAGTGAAGACCGACTACAAAATCGATTTGAACGCAACAAGATGGCGGTCAAATATTAGAATTGTGTTCACAAATCGTCGAAGCGATGAGCAAAATTGCAGATTAAGAAGTCGATGAATGTTGAAAGAGTGGTTGGGAAAAGACACTGAGGTAGAGTGTGTCAGCAAGTTCGAAATACAATATGGCAATTACAGTATTTTTCTGAATAACAGTCCGAACATAATTTATAATTCATACATTTACTCTGGACCAGGGATGTAGTACCAGGGGTGTAGTACCACGGGGCTCAGTACATTTCTACTTTTGCCATTGTTTTTTGCAAGATTTTGCTAAGTTACTTTGAGAGCACTACATCCCTGATCTGGACTATGCCAAAGCCACTACTTCTACATATTTACTGAAGTTTAGCTTGTTTAGCAGTACTACTGACTGCTTCTGATTTTGCACCGAATAAAGATACAAATAGGGTTAACTTGGCAAAAAGAGTAAACTTGGCAAAAAGAGTAGACTTGGCAAAAAGAGTAAACTTGGCAAAAAGAGTAAACTTGGCAAAAAGAGTAGACTTGGCAAAAAGAGTAAACTTGGCAAAAAGAGTAAACTTGGCAAAAAGAGTAGACTTGGCAAAAAGAGTAGCTAAAGTAGCAGTCGTCAGCTGTATTACCTACGCCTTTCTTAAAAACTTGATATTTGGAAACTGAAACAATACACGTACGGCCTTGTTTTGAAAATTTCTCTAAATCTAAAATAAACAAATTTTTTAAGCCCAGATTTGGTTTCATCACCATAATTTTAGGCTGGATACAATTTTTCATATTTCATGTGCTTGTATCTTAGATTTTAAGGAGAAATAAAATTTGAAAACTTGTAAGGGATTTGACCGCAAAAATTTCTTCCGGGTGAAACTTTACCCCCTAGTCGCCAATCACGGTCAAATCCCGTATAAATTTTTTATCTTTATGTCGTCATAAAATCAATATCGTGAGCAATACCAAATGAAAACTTCCAAGTAGATTAAAATCATTGCTCTCAATCCGAATCTGGGGTCAGAAATGTTTTACAAACGATTTTGAAGAATTTTTCAAAATGAGGCCGTAAGTCGAATTGGTGCATTCAAGAGAAATAAAATATTTTGCAACGATAAAAACCGCACATATTGAATGGTTAGAGTACAGTACTCACCAGTAAAAAATTCTCCAAACTCGTGTTCGAGCTTCAAGGCCCGTTCATACTGCTTTTGTCCTTGGTCGGTAGTTAACCGTTTATTGATTTCCATCATCCACTCAGGACTCAGCGGCTTGATAAAAATAGCTACTGGGTACAGTTGTGCTACTTGCAGTCTTTTTATTGCGTAGCCACTTACATCAAGGATACAATGTTTTTCCTGCAAAGACATCAAACGAAAAAAAGCTGTTGATAGGTCTCTCCCAAAAATGCACCTAAATACTACCTTAGCAAGCTGCACTCATCCAACAAGCCCCTTCTCATCCAGGCTCATTTTGCCCGCCCTTCAAGCAGATTTTAAGGTGTATCAGAACCAAAACCAGTCGAAAGCAGCCTATCGAAAGAAGTTTTGGGATTCGGAACAATCAAATTTAAGGATAGATTCATAAAACCAGATCTACGTATCAACGAGTACCAAAAAAGAAGCTTTAAAGTGTTCGCCAGCTGTGATTTTTCGTAATTGCTGACTGGACAAAATGCTAAAAGTCTTGCAAGTATAAAGCAAAAAATCAATTAGCTGGAAGCGGGCGTTCATTCAAGAGCAACTTCAGCATCTGGATGGCTCTAAAAAAAACCTTCAGTTCACTGCAATTCAAGCTTGACCGCACGTTCTGCTGTGATAAATAATGAAAGAGAGGCTCTTGGTTGGGCTTTGTTTCTCGCATTTTGATTGTGAGATTATCATATCTACTTTGGGCAAGCATATCTTCACTTTAATGAGCTAGAAGTTCTTCAAAACAATAACAAGAGATTTGAATGTTAGTTGATATTTAATATCAGCCAGTAACTAACATAACTACCAAAACTGTACAATACTGTGTCTACGCTTCTGGTATATAGAACGGGACGGTTCTAAGAAGCTACACCCAGTTTCAAGCGTAATCTGTTTTTAAAGTGAAAAATGCTGAGCAAATAAATCAAAAATAAACCAGCATCATTAACCATTTATGCGATAATTTTGAACGCTCGAAGCTTTTCAGTTAAAGAAATTGACATTTATTAAGATCTGAAGACAAGTATTTAACATCATTTTGCTTGCCCTAAATAACATATATACTTCGAAATGCAAATATAATTCTTTGCCACTTTTTTATAAACTCTAAAAGCCCATCTAACCAATTGAAGTAAAAAAGATATATTCTAAAGATACTGCTGACAAAGAATGAACAGCTGCCCAACAACAAAAACAACAAAACTTTCAACTTAATGGAAACACAAGAGAGAAAAAAGAAAGCAGTTTAACTTAATTCGTTCCTACCTTTTCAGCCACTTCCCTTACAGAATTTACACTCGTGCCGTAAAGATTATCATTATATTGACCAGCTTCGATAAAAAGGTGGTTCTGGATGTCTTTTTCCATTTGTTCCCGAGATTCAACGAAATGGTAGTCCCGTCCATCAGCCTCGTATTCCCGTCTTGGCCTCGTTGTGTCTGAAAAGTTGAGAAAGATAGTTGAAAAAATTTAAAAGTAAGATATTCAGGCAAAGAACAGTCTTGTAGACGTCCTTATGGAATTTAAGAAACTCAGAACAAAATGTCTTCAAACATCAATGACTTCATTTTTAGTTAATATTCTCGAGAAAACGTTGCAAAATTTTCTAAAAACAACAAGTGAAGCAGGAAAGGTTGGTTAGTTGAAGCACTACTTACGAGGGACACAGCTTCCAAATTTGTCAGGGAACTCCTGTATCAATTCATCGTTGAGCCTGTCTTTCAAGGGCCCAAGGATGATAACAGGCCTAGTGTACTTCAACTCCTGCTGAGCGACAGATTCATAAGTGAGAATTATGTCCTCCGGGCGACCAGCAGTCTCGCTATCACTAGCATTTGAAGTGGCGTCAGCATCAGCTCCTTCGCCCTCCATTTCTTTCTTGTTCTTGAAAGGAAAATGTTTGGCGAAGTTGAAACTACGCTTACCGTGTTTGGCCGAAAAGGATGTCCCCTATAACAGAAAATGGTAAGCATACCACACACACGCCACACAGTGCAGAAAGCAAAGCAGGTAAGGCAAAAGAAATAAGTGATATTCACAAGCCTACAAGGAAACTTCAAGGTACGATAGCTGAGGAAAACAAAGAACTGCAGTAAAAACAAATAACATATTCATGTGCTCGACGAAGATATCTACCGTTATTGGTAAAGGCAACTAGGCCTTCTTTTACAGTTTGAAATTGTCTATCCTGTGTCTTTGAAATGAAGTTTCTCGCATTAAATGAGCGTTGATAGGGTTTTGTCTCATCTTGGCTTGAAATCAACAGTTCGTATAGCAAGCTTTCAGTTATTATCCAATTCATGTAATGTACAATGCCTGCCAAAAGTCTTGGAACATTGACGTCATTTTTTAAGGTCAAAAAGTTTACTACGAAACGGGTTAGGATTTCAGGAAGCACCTTCTTTTGCGCTTCTTTTCTTATATTCCTCGAAGTTAACAACATTGTTCTAGGGGGAAGGGGCAGAAGTAGTAACTTTTTTCGGAAAAGGAATGAAAGATATGAAATGCAATGCAAATTGCTGGGTGTTTCAAGTACCTTTGACAGGCATTGTACTTACATTCTGCGCAGAAAAGTAAACTACTTGTATGCAATCGAGATTAAGCTGTTGTTTAAAAAGAGCCATCGAGTAACAGGCACCGAAAACATTGCATGCAAAATCAGGACCTGAAATTCGTCGTCTAAGTCGAGTCACCTTGAAACCCAACATTTTGTTCCTCAATTTTGCACTGATAGAAAGGTGCTTGCTTACGTTTTGATAATGAGAAAACAATTTTAAGTTTTTTGCAGTAGTTTGAAGGCACTTTGTCTGTCAGTCAATTATTCAGAGTTAGCAATAGAGGATGCAGCTCGTTTATGATTGAGAAAACATTGCAGATTAGCCTTACGTTGCCGATTAGATACGTAACAATAGGTCTATTGTGTAGTCCAACCAATGGGAAACTTAAATGGCCAGCGAAATGCGTCGGGACATAGTGCCTCTAATAAACTGAAAACTCCTGGCTTCAAAGTATACTAAACCAAGGCAACGTTTCTAATTACAACTTTGAATTTATTTTGTAAATACCATGAAGTATTTCAACTATTGCCTCTACATGCGGCGCGGCATATTATACATAGAAGGGAAGCAACGTAATCTGTGCCTGCCAAATGGTTTTTCCGTCTTTTAATTTCATATGCCAAAAACATCTGGAAATTACCTTGTCTTCGTTTCCTGCCGCTGCCGCTTTGAATTTAACAGTCTTCTGGCGAGCCCTTTCCCTTCTTTCAACCCTTGAAATAAACAGAATTATTTTATAATCACAAAACCATAAACCTACAAAGACAGAAAATATATCAATAATTACTGATATCATTAACCTACATTTGTAAAGATCGAGGTTACCATATAACAGTGATCGTGCTTCCCTGATAATTGTAAGTTGAACTGTTTGATAAATAAATATCAGACGTTCCTTCGTAATTGTCTTTAATTTCAGTGGAGGTAAGGCGTCTTCAAGCCAACTGCAAATTAAAGAACTCCCAAAAGGTCAGTACTCGCCTAGTTGCTTCCCTGAAAGGATTTTCTAGGGAAGTTTACAAACCCTTAGCAAGAAATGACTCACCTCTTTTTGCTTGGGATGACACCCCTTTCCTCTTCATTTCCTTCGCTGTTCAACTTAACAGCTTGCCACCACTCTTCGTCACTTGCATTAGTCACGTGCAATATGTCGCCGTAATTGAAACTCAAACCCTGGCTTGGCAAAGCACTGTCCTTGGCCTTGTCATAATCAAACAATGCCCTATAAACCAAGATAAAAAACACGTGTTTTCAAAAGCTTTGCCCTCCTGTTGGCAATAAAAGATAGCAACTTAAAAACCCAAGCAAATAAAGGACAGCACTAAAATGTTCAACTCCCCGTATATACCGTCCCGTGCAGGTTTTGAACCGTGACAAAACTGTCGCGGTTTGTCCTTCCACTACCAGTATGGAATTGAGACGGCTTTGCTCTGCTATCCGGAACATTTTGCATCTGCTGCGAAAGCGAACGATTTTGTACCGTTGTGGTCCAGTTTTTGAACGGGACAGTGTGAAAGGATTCTTAAACACAACACATGAAAAATTGATGTAGAGCTACACATTATATAAACTAAGAAAAAATACTTCAGAATTCGGATTAGGTCCGGCCATAATCAACAACTATCGACCATAAACGATTAATTACCTGACGTAAAGGGTCCTTTTTGCTGATGTTTTCAAACTTCCACCCCCAGTTGTGTTCAACATTCTTTCTCGCAAGTCATGAATTTTCTGCTCGAATCTGTTGTACTCTGTAAATAAAACATTTCAATATTACGAAACATTAAAAAAACCGTCAACGTGGCTTCGTTTAACTTCCCACTGTATATAATCACAGATATCACATACATGCACATTTATAGTTAATCAAGAAACATTTCTCACGAGATCTTAGAATTTTTTCCCAGTTGAAGAAAAATTGTTTGTTACATATAGTGTTTGAGGTCACCAAATGTCTTATTATCAAGAATCTTTCATGCGATTACGATTGAACCAGGGACGGCGGGGAGTGCAAAACATTAGCTATTAGAAAAAAGCAACGCCCATTTATCGGAAACGCCCATTTTGTGTGGAGACTTGAGTAACTTAAACAATTGTTTTGTCGTACATGAACAGTTTCATTGACCTGGTCGGAAATCGTTTCAAAAAAAGCAGTAACAAATAAAAAGCATTTTTCCTTGAGGGGTTACAGTTTCTATTTTACGGACAAATAACGAAGTATATTTTTGCTTTTGCGCTTCATCTCCCCTTGTGATATTACGAAAAATCAAATATTTTGAGGCCTCGATGGTCGTTAGAAGAAGAAATTTCACAACTGTACGCAAACTCTAACAGTATTATCCGGAAACTCAATGTTCTACATGTTTGAAACTATACACAAAAAGACTTTATAGTTGTCTCATTTCTTAGAAAATCTTTCAAAGCTATGTCCATTGTGCGTTTTCATCGGGTTACAATATTGCCATAAAAGTTAGCATCGTTGGAACAGAGCTATCGTTAGAACTTTATGTTGGAGCCCCCTAATCAGGCAACGTTTAGTGCATTTTATGTTTCATTTCAGGCCCCATTCATATAAAGAAATCACAGCGAGGCAATGATATTCGGGCAAGATCTATACAATGTCCACCTGAACGTTTCACATCCCCTACGCCAGTGCTGCGTTTTTCAAAGAAATTAAGGTTGATCGTGCTCTTAAAAGAAGACTTTCCTGTTGCTTATGTTCATTTATAACAAACATAATTTACGTAGGTAGACTGGGAAATTTTGGATTAAGGTCGAAGACGAATTCTGTGTCGTGGTGGAGTTTCAAAACTATCAAAAATTGCGATGACAAGCTCACTGACAACAACCGTAGACAGAATTATCTGGGGTCGATGCTTACATAAAGCATCCCCTTTAGGCATGTACCGGCGAACACAGAGATAACCTAACTTCACTATGCTCCAGGAAAGAGCTTTGAGAAAAACTAGGGATGTGCTGCTCGGTACATTCTGCCGTATTTTCCATGATTTGTTTGACTATTTGAGCAAAGAGCGTTGAATAATAACAGAACTCCGTCCGATCGCTGTAGAAAACAAAAACAAATGTTCGCGGGTTTAAATACAAGTACCGGCATGCATTGCGTCATGACGGTTTTTGTCGAGTGTAAAATCATCAAATGTTCGAGCTTTGCGGTATCATTCATATCTTTTTAATAACATAAGACTTCGAAATTATGTTTTCAGTTTTGTATATATTAAATTAGCTACACAATTTTATCAAGTCAATCAAATTTGGGTCGATCTTTTCATTACAGCAGCTCTCTTATAAAAAAATGAAGAATCCACCAACACAAACAAGTTATTCAACACAAAAAAGAACGGGTGCCAAAATTACCTTCTGGGCGATACTGGACAACTAGGGTCACTTCTCTTCCAGCGCTCTTCAGAGCTTGTGCAGCCTGCTCATGGGTGGCAGTGTGAAGGTCGGTATTGTTCACCTGAAAATCGACACGCGTCAAGGTTAAAATCAGAGGTGAAGATCTGAGCCCCTTATGTAAATGCCAAAAGTAGCCCATTTATACTTTTTGCAATTGCTTTATTGAGAATATTTCTGCGAGAGCCCACCTTCGTACAGCAAAACATCCCTAAATATAACTATGTTTCTTAATTGGGTAGAGGATGCATCTTTAGTTAGGAAATTAGCTTTTTGAGGGTGTATCAGCCGGGCTTTGAACTGCCATCCGCATCGGCACGACTACAATGTCGCTGTAAATCGGTGACCACACGTTCTACAAAACTGTCTGGAGATTTAGCAAAGGCTTTCATATCCACGAAGATCGTACCAGGAGTTAACAAAAAGGCTAATGACTACTGAATGGAGAAATGGAGAAAGACTAGGGGCAGCTTGAAGTTTTATATGTATATATGTAGTAAAATAGGGTGCCAAATAGGTAGTAAAAAGAACAGAGCAAATAAACTCTAGAGGGAAAATCCAACAGGGAGGCCCTTAACCGAGTAACATCATGTGTGAAATTACAAAATGGATGACTTGATGTCAAAACGAACAACGTTTATCTAACAACCATGGTGTCATTTACATAAGACGTAAATGTACACTACTTACCGACACAATTTGATCCCCTCTCCTCAAATTGCCACTCAGATCTGCAGGAGCTCCAGCAAGTATGAAGGAAATAAAGATACCTTCGCCATCCTCACCACCAACAATATTGAATCCGAGACCTGAGGGACCTCGTATCAATACAACTGTTCGTTGCTCCCTGGGTAAAATGAAAGAATGAATTCAAATCAACTGTACTGGCTGATAACAAAATTAATAGCAAAACAAAATTAATAGCAAAACAAAATTAATAGCAAAACAAAATTATGCAACTACTTGCTTTAAAGAAAAATTAAAGTTGATAGAGAACCTTGATGCGAAAAATACATAAATGAAAACCATAAATGGGATTTCTTCAAATACATAGGTTTGAAAAGGGCTTCTCAACTGTAGACATATGCACTTGAAGCAAATTGTAAGCTGAATAAAAATGAAAAGTGTTGCAAACAGACCTTGTAAACTGTTCACCCTCCGGTTCGTCTTTACTTTGGTCTAATAATGGAGGATTTATTGGCATGACATCCTGAATTGGGGCTTCCTCTTGAGACACAACAACAGGCGTGGTAGTGACCTCGTTATCTTCGCCTTCAAGGAAAGAAAAGAATCTTAAATTCTGCCGTTCCTCTTAGAATCTCAGATTCTAGCTTTTCGCAAGTGTTCCAACAATTTTGGCATGGAATGTAGTTGTCAGAAATAGAAAATTGCATTTAGGAGATACTTTGCAAATCGAAAAGTATACTTACTGGTTTTTACTCCAAAGGTAGGCGAAGGCGTGCTGGCTAATGTATCATCCATAAGAACTCCTCTAGAAATGAGTAGGTTGACCGTCTGACCGGTCGATTTTAGTACAGTAACAGCTTCTTCGTGGGTTGTATCACTGAGATCATTGCCATCCACCTTGATAAGAAACAAAAACAATCATTCAAGCAATATTTAAAAGTGGGATAATAGCACAAGATAAGGTTTGGGCCTTTGGGAGTAGCTTGATTTCAGCAATTCATTTCACAATTTTTGCGAAAGGCACGGAAGAGCGGAAACATATCTGCTTCACAAGCTGCTTTGGATACAATCTGCTTTGTGTACAATCTGCTTTCCCTGGGTAGTGGGCGACATAGCATTGGGCGTGGTAATTGATTTTTTCATATTATAGGTTCTACTTAAACCTTACATTTCTTGATAATCACAAAGATTTTGAAAATCATTGAATTATAGGTAGAATAACAACAGCGATGATTATCGATTATCTGAAATGACATTTAGTGCACTTTTGAAGACAATTATGAAATATCTCTGAAGTTTACCATAACTGATGAGAAATGGTGATTTATTCATAGTCAAATACTTGCGTAGCAAAATTTTCTTTCACACTTCTATGACAATGCTGAAACTGGGGAATGAGGTTGCTTTAGGGGGCATTCAGGGGTTCACAGTAGCTAAAATAGAGAGACAATAACTGATACGATGAATACAACTATCAAATCACCTGCAATATTCTATCGCCAACTTGAAGTCTGCCATCCTGCTGAGCAGCGCCACCTGCGATGATCCTTGTCACATATATGCCATTATCTTCAGGAATGTGTTGGTTGTCTCTGCCGCCAGCGATTGTGAAGCCAAGTCCAGTAGCACCTTTATGCAGCGTGATCTCAACTTGCTGGACAGAGGAAAGCTGAATCTGTTGCCTTTTCACTTTCTGGAAAAAAAGAGGTTATAAGGTGAATGTTCTCGCTCAAAGTCCCTTAAAGTAGAAAGAAGAATGTAAGTTAATGAAAATTATTGATTATCTGTATTCATCCTAAATAATGGTTTGTTTATACACAATCGAGAAAACGGCTGATTGATTTCAAAAGGGAGAATTACCAGGAAAACTTCGTCTCCAGCCAGTTTAAGCGCCTCCACAGCCACAGAATGTTCGACATCTACTGTGCTAACGTCATTTACTTGAAGGATGCTGTCACCGATTCTTGGGAACAAAAATAAGCACAAATATCAAACGATGTCAAAAAGAGTATGGGATTACAAAAAGTTGCTCAAACTATTTCAGTTTTAATTAAACTTGCTGTTAAATAGCTTTATGGTCACAATATTGCTAAAATCAACAATAAATACTCGCTAAGAGCATAAGTCTTCTCCAAGGGATGAGTAAAAATTAATTTAAGGCATTTCTTCGGATTAATTTACAAGACAGGTTGACATACCGTAGGCGACCATCTTGATGGGCTGCACCACCAGGTATAATCTTTGTGATGTAAATTCCTGTGTCATCATCAATATGAGGGTTGTCCGTCCCTCCGGCAATGCTAAAACCCAGACCAGTTCCTCCCTAACAAAAAAACAAGATTTCCTAAAGCATAGTCTAGAATATGTTTCATCCATAGACAGCCTAAAGCGTATAAAAACAGCTGCCATCATGCAGGGGGACACAGTTTACCATCGTTAACAAAACATTCAACGTTTATTTCTGTGCCTATATCGAAAGCTTGTTCGGGGAGGAGGAGGGAGAGGGTAACAAAGTCTTGTTTTGAATCATTTTGGTTTAAAATTTAGACCCATAATTCCGCACATTTCAGAAAAAAATACGACCTTAAATTCCACAAAAATGATAAAACTATACCCATAATTCCGCAAGGCAATAAAAATATTTCAAGAAAAAAATCATCAAACAAACTTTGCAATATTATTCAAAAATGGCACCGATAGTTCCGCACATATTTTAAAAACTGATACCGAAAAATCCGCACTTTTCAGAAAAAAGTACCCCTAAATAACGGCACGTTCCCCTACCTCAAACCAAGTATGTTACCCCCATCCCCCCCCCCCACCCCCCCCCCTTCTGAGGTAGTCTGCATTATCAACCACAACCACTTTCAAAAGCATACTTTCAAAGAATTTCATCCACCACTTGTCATAGGATGAAACAACTGACAAGAGTTCTTTATGTTGACCTCGTCCAATAAAAGGGCAACATGACTTGACTTGCTTTGGCTTGATCAAGCTTCTGTAGTTAAATTGTTCCTAGCAAGTAAACGGTGTCCTTCAATCTACAAAGTGTCTTGTTCAAATGCAAAAAGGAGACGGCGTTTCTGCCCTTCCGTATTGACAATTGGTGGCTTATCGGGATTATACCAAGCATTACAACTCGAATGAAAGGGCCAACAAAAAGTTAAGACAAGAATTGCAAAAGTTTGACTATTACTCACGCGTCTTAATCTTATTTCCTCTTCTTCGTATAACTCCTCGGCCTGTTTAAAAGTATTATAATGATTCATTCTAATGAACAATATCAACCAAACTACCAAACTACAATAAGAAAATGCAGTAAAGTGGCGTAAGATTCAATAGACGATATCCAAAACTGGATTTTCTCTTGATTCTAAGTTAAATTTGAACACACTTAAAGACACAAACAAAAGGACGAGAGACAGGTACAATGACAAAATAAGAACTAGCTAATGAAAAAACCAGAGTTGTATATATTTAAACTTGATGAATACAAATGAACATAGGCCCTTGGAGCATTTTGATTGGGAGGTTTTCTACGCTAAAAAAATGAATCTATATACAATATGGACGAGAAACCAAACTGCAGCACATACTTGGAAGGTTAAAAATAACATCAAATAGTTTTCTAAAATTTCACTCCAAAACTACTTGTCAACTAACAAACAAGAAAAAAGTGTACTTTATCTTTCTGATCATACTTTCAAGAATAAAAATAATTGTAGCTATCATTCTGCACAAAATAGGAGAAAAATCGAAAAAGAAAAGCCAACAGGAAAAAAATTGGTTGAACATACATATAAACACATGTTTTAGAGTGTTTATGAACTTGCTGAAAATATACAAACAGCTTCTTCAAAATGAACATAAAATAGTTCTATATTTAAGCGTGGCATATGAATTACACAATTGAATTATGGCCAGTTGATTCAGCAAATAATAAAAGTGATGATCCCATGAAAATTTTATCTGCTGTTCCATTGTTTACTTGGGAAAAATTCATAGTTATCAAGTAAGACCTGCTGGCAATTTAACTAAAAGGCTAGTGATTGAAGTTAGTGATCAGCACAATTTTATCTGAAAGGACACCTGCTCTTAGATAATCTCAAGAAACCGCACAGAAAAAGCACGAGGAGAAAATCTATATTCACAAGGGCACTTATCATGTTGTAAAGCCAGTTTTATCTATTTCAATTTCTCTCGCCTAACTTTTGGTGACTTTGCCAGTTGGTTTAGGCAACAGAATTTTCACAAGAAAAACTTTATTGAGAAAAATATTAGAAAATGAAAGACCTACAGCAGCAAAATATCGAGCAGATTTCAAGCATCACATTTAAGAACATTGACTGAACAGCACAACAGTCTGTTGTTACTTGCTGATGACAAAAACTGAGACCCTTCACAAAAAACATTGTGTTTGCGGGCGCCTCCAAACAAAGAACTTCTGTGACAGGATTAAAAGAAATATTCCTATTTAACAAGATACAAAATATTTTACTGGATGAACCGAAGAGACATTTCCTTTTCTGCTTGGTTGTGCCTACCAGTAGATATGGATATCCTATGTTAGGCAATCACATAACACTTGTTAGAAAATTTTGATAAGGCCCTACCATTTAGAAATCTCAATTTTATATCAGTGTAGACCATAATTGCAAGATTTTGATTAATATTTTAAATTCTCAGCAATCAGATATTGGTCAACCCATGATTGGGCAATAGGTTCCATTTAACATTCATAGTATACTAAGGTTGTATCAGGGTCATTTCAGTGCCAAACCAAAGTTAACTATGGTTGAAAAACACGGTCTGACCATGGTACAACCATTGCTAAACATGGTTCTGCGATGGTCTTTTCTTAGGGGTGACTAGCTAACTAAAAACAAAATTTATGGACAAACTGGCGTTACCTTTGTGCTATTACTTGTAACAACAGCATTTGGCTCTGGCAAGGGCTCATCATCTGGAGGTTTTATGTCTTCTGGTGGGGGTGGCAGGGGCTCGTCTGACACCTCATCCTGCAAAAAATTGAAAACAGAATAAAAGCAAATCTTTTTAAAAATAAAAAATTATGTTCTCTCTGTCATAACTTCACAATAATAAGGTACATATATGATGCTATTTTCTATGAAAGCTAACACTGTCTATTCTGACATTTTTTTATGCGCATAGAAAATTAAAAAACACTACTACAAACTATGGTACAATAGTGATACCAGAGGAGGCATGAATCTTCATAACAACCCTGTGGCCATTCACAATTATCTCATCAAAGTCTGTTCCAAAAATAATGCTAGGCAAGACACCCAGAGAGGGCAAATATGTACCAGACGAAACACCAATGAGGATTTGCATATTCTGACATGAGAGTGTTAAATGCACAGAAGTACAAAGCAATTGACAGTCTGTCCAATGAGTGCCCAATCATGAAACTCAAAGTAACAGATAACATGTCTTATCTCTAGCCATACATTTACAGCAATACTGTTATCTATATATTCCCTGAAAATTTTCAAAAAAATACATCTCTAAAGAACCACAGTCTAATAAAAAAAATACAGAAGGTATGATACCATGAAAAGCCAGAAATCATAACTATCATGTGGCTGGCAATGACACTGAAGGAGTTTTAGGAAATGGGAATGTGAAATAGTTATAAAATGATTTTTACAGAAATAGACTCTTTCCCACAAATCTATATACATCAGCATAACAAACTACTTTTATATCGTATCTGAAAATATAATCAATATTTGTATAGAGAAAGTTAAGAGACTGTATAAAGAAAGCCAGATTCATAAAGGACCAACACATGTTACCCAAAATATGCCTTAAGTAACAGTTCCTGCTCCACACACTAAATGTGTACAGCTCTGCCTTTATGACAATGAGGACAATATGACAGACTTATTTTCATTGTTACCTAAAAGGTGTAATTCTTGTGAAAAATTTGACACACTCTTCAAGTTTAACAGTTGGTTACAGAGAAGCATACCTATGCCATATTGTTTATAAATGTTCTTCACATCATTCAAAACAACTGAATGACCAGGAAGTGCATAAAATAGCCTTGAGACAAAATGTATACCAAAAGCAATGAGACCGCTGATTTTATATATCATTAAAATGGTAACAATAACGATTTGCAGTAAGGTTGGTGATAAAATCAAAGCAAAAATAATGCATAGTGTGTGAAAAAGAATGTACAGGAAAAAGAAGGAAGGGTTAGATCATGCTGTAGGAAAAATCCTACTTCACGAAGCAGGGAATGATACAAAACTATATACATATAAAAATATCTCCATAAAGAAATCCTGAAAAAATCATTCTGTTTAGTCTTGTGTATCAAATGACCTGGACTTCCCCTGCTTTGGGCCTGCACTGTGGTACCCAGAGTAAGATTTTTGAAGACATATCCTCACACTTTGACACTTAGGGCATACCTTTTTACCTTGGTCTTCTCACCCTTATACCCTGGTTTCCTTTCAGCAGGTTACTAGGGTTTTATATATCAGAGATCTGAATGTCTGCATCAAGCTAGTTGACATTTCAACCAAAATTTCACAATCTCCTTCTGATTCCTTATCTGGAAATTTTGGACAGAAAATGCCAAATAAATAAACATAAATTATAATTTTTTCAAGTAACAAAATCATTGGATTTCAGAACAAGACATAGGATAATTTCAGAATAATGGCTAAATTGAGAGATGATTTCTACAGTTCCTCTTGGCGGTATAAATTGGAGAGCAGTATTTTTCAAGAAATGTTTTAATTGATTCCCTGAATCATTTATAGGAAGACCCCTATGATTCTGCTTGCAGCAAATAACAGCTTACTGAGAAGAACTTATATATAATCTTGGTTATTGTAGGGTGGGAAAATTTTTTCAACAAATACAAAAGATAATATACCTTAATAATACTGAAGAGATTGAAAAATCTTCAAATATTGCAATTGAATTGAACAATGAAAGAATCCTTAAAAGGAGGTTGAAAAAATATTTTGCATTGATCATCACTGGGCATGATTAAGTGCCCTGTAATGGACTGTCACTTTTCAAAAGAAATAACTCTGAAACCAGGTGTAAAAGCCCTAAAAGTGATTTAAAGTCAAGGGCGATTCTATAGTCTGTATCCTTGGAGACAACTCATAATCTTGTAAAGCAGAAAAATACAAAGTATGGCACAACATTTTATCCTTTCCTGAGCCATTTTTGAATTTCAACACATGAAAATTAGAAATATTTCTTTTTCAAACTATTCAACCTTCAACTTCAGGTTATTGACAAATAAAAAAAATAATGTACTGCAAAGAAATCAGATATTATCATATTGACATAAGAATGAAAAAAAGATCTTTTTACTGGAAACAGATAATTTTGCAAATGAATTTAGCAAATGGGTGTTAAAAGTAAATTTGGAATGGGATTGTAGAGAGCTATCTAGATACATAAGAGAGCAAAATCTATGATGAAATCCCATTGTTAGCTAATGAGATATTGTAGTTTCTCAAAAATGCAAAACATGCTTTGCCTTGTGCTCAAACTGTAGAAATATTATAAGTCCCTATTAACAGAAACTTTCCTACACAAACTGAGTGGTCACAATCTGCTATAACTAAGTAGCACATGCCATTGTCAAAAAAACACTTTCTTTCACACAGCATTGGTAACAAAATTTTTGCTGCTCATAAACCTGTTTTTGTAATCTTCTCTATTTGTTAGGTTTTGTTATTCATAAGACCAACAGAGAGTTGAACTTGAATACTAGTTTATAAATCTTCTTTATTTGTCACCTTTTGTATTTGACAGGAAGAATCAGAGAGTCGAAATGTGTTCAACTGAAATAAAGGTTATGATGTTGTAACAGAGTCATGCAAAACACAGAGTGTAGCCATGCAAAACACACTGACTATAAAGATAGGATTGGTTTGTAAAAGGCAGTAGTGCTGTTATTTTTTGGAGACATTTTATCCTATCAATGAGGAATCCTCACCCTGATAATTGTAAACAAACGTCTTACAAAATCTGTCATTTGGTTGCATCATATAGTGATGGAGGGTTGCATTAAAAATGAGTCAATGTTGATAAAAACACATCTAGCATGTGATCTGTTTTGGCAATTAAAGAAATATACACTCACAGACAAAAATAATCATCAAATGGCTGCTCTTGATTTGTCCAAAACTTTAAGGCTGGGTTGCTCCTAAATTGCTCTTAAATTAGTAGGGTGTAATAAATTACTAGGGAAATATAGACAAAAGGACATATTTTTTGGTTCCTACGTTCTTGGTCTAGTCAATATTTGAGTCAAACAACTTAACTTACAAAGAATAGGACGTATCGTCTGCTTGACTAATTAATGTTGACATTGACTTGAAAAGTGATTAGGCGTGAATTTGGAATAATCGGATGCTCGCGAGACTAATCATGTGAATAAGACATTTCGAATACAATTATTGAACATTTCAGCGATTTGATTTTCGAGTGGCTGTAATTCATGATTTCACACCGCTAAGAATACGCCGCAATTCCACAACCTGTCTAAGACTACCAATCACAACAAAAAAGTACCGCATTTTCCAAAACACTTTAAGGCAAAATAATGCTTTGCAATAAGAGCAAGAGTGCTACAAACATCCATTTACTATTTCGAGGAGTGAGATAACAAGTCTCTACCTCCAAAGAGAAGAAGAGCGGAACTGAAATCACACCAATTTGCTTAGGGCTGTTGGCACATTTCCACAATCGTAAATTTGCCAGAAACAAATGAGCAATCTAGCATAAATAAGCTCTTCACTACTAATCAAGATTTATCTTATCGTGAACGCCAATATCAACATTTCACATAGAAATATCTATCCAGATTGTCCGACGCACCTGAAGCGCCGAACACACACAACCTTAGGTTGGCCTACTCCTGCTATCCGGTACGGTGGGCCAGATAAAAACATTACGATCATTGGTTCAAAATACTTAGACAATTGCACTAAAAAACTATAATACATAACACTATCCACCTTTCTTTCCTTCTTTCTTCTCCGCCATGGTGCGATGCAAGAAAATAGTTTCATAGATTGTCTTCGACGCGGTCCTCTCCCGCCCTTGGAAGCCATTTTGAGATTCGTAACCTATCCGATTAAATATTGGGCATGCTTCTCCTTTGGGCACCTTTAAACGCTCCTACACAGGGACAAAAGAGTCAACATCTAACCACGGGGTCACACCCTTTGAATATAACCGCAAAATTCCAAATACAGCGAAGGACATATACTTTATTTTGGCTTCGTTAGCCGCGCGACTGCACGAGTTATGCCGAAATACAACAACAAACATTTATTCAACCTGTTTAAGTCCATATCTACATCTATGCTAGGTGTCTTCAGAATGGTCAAAAATCACCTTAAAAATCCCTTATTCTGCGCTTCAAAATATTTTCCAGGCACCGCAGAGCGTTGAAAAAAGTGGAGGGTCTTAAAAAGTGGGGGGGGGCTAAAACCGTATAAAAAGAGGCTTTTCTGGTAGTTTGATACTTAATATTTGGCATTTTTTGCAGAAAGTGGGAAGGGGGCTAAAGCCCCCCAGCCCCTCTGCTCTGCGGTGCCTGTTTTCCATAAATAGTAGCACGGTATTGATGCAGCTCTTATTTTCCTACACTAGAAGCAGGGCTGTCAGGGGTGAGGGTGTATGACATCCCCCTTGAAAAATCCTTATTGTAAAGACGAGGAGTTTTTCCGCCTTTTTTAGAAATATTTATTTTTAACCTAAGGAGCCTAAAAATTTCCGTATCGTACAAACGAAACTGCTTCATTTGACCGTTTCTTCCACATAGACAACAATTAGTCTGATAGAAGCTTCCTTAGGCTGTCCTACCCCCCCCCCCTCTACCCCACACCTCCCAGTATTTGGTTATGCGATGCCAAATAAAACAAAAATATTAAACAACATCTTACTACTTCTTCTCTATCCTAACTTTCCATCAGGATGCTAAGGAAGGAGGGACTTAATCTGGAGGAGG